AAACAATCAATTGTATGCCAAAGCTTTAAAATGTGAATTTGGCCAGTCATTGGTAGATTACTTGGGTTATAGAGTTACAACCGTAGAAATGAAAGTGATGAGTAGAAGATATATGCCATTCACAAATGGACAGCATCTAAGTATCAGACTCAGTTGAAGAGTTTTATATGACTCACTGGATTCTATAGTAGACTTGTGAAAAAGTTTTGCTCACATAGCTCAGGCCTTGACTTTCATGTTAGAGAAAAATCAAAAATGGAGATGTGGAACAGCTCAAGAGTTAATTTTTCAAGCATTGAAAGATGCTTTGTTACACACATCTATCCTCAAGTAGTATAATACTAAGCGTTCAATCAAGTTGGCTACAGACGCATGAGGTACAACAGTATGTGGCATACTTCAATAAGAATGGGAGAATGGATGGCATCCAATTGCTTTCTATTCTCCAAAATTTGGTGGTGACGAAACAAAATTATCACAGAACAGAACAGTATGAATTAGCCATTGTGTTGGCAACCAAACATTGGAAGCATTACTTAGATGATAATGAGTTTATGGTGGAGACTGATCATAAATCGTTGGTTTATTTGGAAACTAAGAAGTATCTGTCTAAATGACAAATTCGATGGGCAGAGTGGCGTACAATCCTTCAACATGAAAATTCTATAGTGGAGAGGAAGAATCAACTTGCAGATGCTCTCACACGCATGTCTTGTTTGAATCATGTTGCAGAAGTGAAATTCATGGTGATTGGTGGAGCAAGATGACATAAGCCACAAAAGAGGATGAAGAGATCATTCGAGCACTACAAACTGGAAAGACAGAGAAGTCTCGAGGTTTGGGCTTCTACAAATACCAGATATGGATACCACAAGATCAAAATTTGCGTACAATGATTTTGGCCAAAAGTCATGACACTGTCATTGCAGATCATGTGGGAGTGGAGAAAACCGTGCAGAGCATACAACGAGTGTACTATTGGCCAAAAATACGTGAGGATGTGGAGTCTTATGTTCAAAGTTGTGTTGCTTGTCAACCAAACAAGGCAAGTAATCAAAAACCAACGTGTATATTACAATCTCTTCCTATTCCTGAAAAGCGGTGAGAACATGTCACCATGGATCTCATATGTGAGTTACTAAAAATATCGTTAAGACATGATTCAGTGGTGGTTTTTGTGGACAAATTGAACAAGATGATTCACATCATGTCAACCACAAAACGGTAACAGTTCCACAACTACCTCAATTGTCAGTAGATGCAATTTTTGTGAATTATGGCTTAAGCGAAGTGTTAATCACGAACAAAAGTATTCACTTCACTAGTTTATTTTGAAAAACTTTCTTTAGTTTTTTAAAACAAAACTAGCAATGTCAACGGTCTATCATACTCAAACTGATGTACAAACCGAGAGTGCTAATAAAACCATATATGATATGCTACGAGCATTCACATTAGAATAGCAAGAAGAGTGGGACAACCTTTTGTCACTTGTGTAATTTGCATATAATAATTTTGTTAATGCATCCACAAAAATGTCTTCATTTTACCTCATGTATGGAGCTCATACTATAACTCCTTCAAGTTTGATGAGACTTCCGAAAGGAGATGAGTTTTTGATCAAAGTTCCAGCAATCAACGAATTTGTGAAGCATATTCACCAAGGACTACATCAAGCCAAGGAGAAGTTGGTGATAACTCAAAATCGGCAAAACAGCATGCTGATGCTCATAGTAGAGAAGTGGTTTTTGAGGTAGGAGATCATGTTTGGTTATCTATATATCTTTTTATCATTTACCATTACCATTTATAACAAAGTTGTCTCTTGTAATAACACCAAAGTTGAACCCTAGGTTCATTGTTCCATTTTTTGTTTTGAATCGTGTTGGTGAAGTGTCATACAAGTTGGAATTTCTATCACATATGAATATACATCTGGTATTTCATGTGTCACGATTGCGAAAAAATGTACCACAACCAAATCAATTCACCAATCAACCAGCACCACCTACTTTTCCAACCTTGATAGCAGATCATGAGGAGTTTGAGGTAGAAAAGATACTCCATAAATGTATTCAAGGTCATAAATATCCCAAAGTAGAATATTTGATTCAATATAAAGGCTATTCATCATATGAATCAACTTGGAAACCCGCTAAAAATTTAGCAAATGCATCTTTGATAGTTCAAGAGTTTGAACGTATGTGCAACGAGGATTTTGCATCTTAAAAGGAGTGAGGTTTGTAACCATCTTTAGTTACTTAAAACTAAAGTAGAGGTTACATTAAATGTTGATATGGATACTTTAGCGTGCACTAGTCATAGCGGCCACGTCAGCGATTTGCGCGCTTGATAGTTAGAAAGTAGTTTTGTTAGTTGACAGTATCACGTCAGCGATCCGTGCGGTCACTTTTCACTTGTTCCAATTCTAATCCTTTGTAATAGAAATAAAGCTTGTATCTAATGCCGACAAGAATAACTTTTAACTTCTCCAAACTGACTTCCATCTGATTTTGAATACAAAACTAACCAAAGTGTCAAGATGTTTCTATAAACTAATGGCATCATGTGCTAGTAATATGACATCATCTACATACAAAAGAACTTTGATGACAAAGCCTTCAAGTTTGACACATTCACTGTCACAATCCTTTAACCATCTTTCTATATCATCCATGAAAACTCCAAAGAGAGTATGAAAGAGAGTACAACCTTGAATGACTCTAATGGTACTCAAAATTTCTTTGGTTTGAGAAGTGTTGATCTTGGCCCAAACAGAGTGATATAATGTGGTTATCGTTGCTAAGTGTTTGATGGTACTCCAATGGTTTGCAATCTTTGCCATAAAAGCTCACAAGATATTGTGTCAAAATCTTTCTTGAAATCAATGATTCACAAAACAAAGCTTTTCCATTACCCTTTGATTTATCTTATAAAACAAGCAAAACCAAGATTTGATCTATAGTGTCATGTAAGTACTTTTTCAGACAGCACCAGAGTAACCTGCTATACGTCACTCCGGTTAGAGTTGTAGTTGTTTTGAAACTGGATAATTATAAGAACTCTCGAATGTACTAGAATTCACGCTTGAGTTAAGGTTATACTAAATAGTATATTCAATTAGCAGCAAGTACGGATATTTGGTCTAAGTAAACTTTGATAGCTGCATAAATAACCACGATTTGTTTTTCAATAGAAATTGGGCTATATTGTGCTTGTTTAAGTATCTCTGTTAACCTAGCCCCACGATTTAATAAATACTTAGTCTCGAACAATGGGAGAGGAGTGTATTTAATTGAAATGAAGTTAGCTCCTTCTGGCTCGCAAGCTATCTTTTGCAAGTGACTTTAGCAAGTCACTTGCAAAAGATAGCTTTCTTTATTTAGGCTTTCTACTTGCTTTGTATACAATGACTTTGTCATGACATTTTGTGCCCTCCATGAGCTTTGCTAAACGATTGAATTGAATTGAATATCCCCCCTCTTCCACCCCTAAAGCGTTAGCTTTTCAAAAGACGCATGAGAAGCGAAAAGCAAAAAAAATATTTTTTTGTATTCTTTTCTCAGGTTTACCCGAGCATAGCGTATGATGTGTAGGACAAAAACCAGTTTGAAACCGCATTCTCTTCTGACAAGATTCAGTCCATGTGCTCAACTTTGACTCCACCGATTTGCTAAATAACTTGGCAAAAATACTACCCACCATGATATTCCAATAGTTTGTCACCAAGGCCTTGCTCCCATATTTGTGAGTAGGAACAATCTTCCGTAGATAGCAAGTTGAAGGGAAGCTAAAGATATCAACATTCTTTAACATTTTAGTGAGTATAGGCCCAATAGCATCTACTTCCCATTTGAGAAGTTCAATCGAAAAATCATCCAAATCCTCACATTTGTCAATTGTTTAAGTTGAGTCATCATTTTAGCTTCAGAAAATGAGCCAAGAAAAGAAATGCAATACAGCATTGAAATTGATAGTAGAATTAATACAGTTCAAATCTTGGATCTAGAATAATTTTGTAATACTCATACTCTTGGCCGAAGGTTAATAATTGATTTATTGACAATATTATTATGATGTATTACACAAAACTTTGGAAAAAAATTTATATCTACTTAAATTGTACCATCTATTTTATTAATTGTTCATAAATACTTCTTATGTTATTGAGTGTATATTTCAAAGATAGAATGAATGCTGTGATTGCAATCTAGACATGATATAGACTCACCTTTGAGTTCATCGTGAATTTTTTGTATAGTGCTTAAATTTCAGTTGTAACCAAAAACAAGGAAGTGTACATGTTCATAAACATTATAATATAAAATTTACGATTGACTTATGAAGTGATTTACTTCATCTACGTACGTTCATTTCGTTTATATTAGAAAGGATTACCTACTCACTTAGGGTAGCTATGAATGATTATCATGGTATGATCATCTACAATGAGAGCGGAAACAGTTGTTTCCACTCTCCAAAGTCCATCCATACCATCTTCTGTACAATAGTTGGTGGTGCAAATTCACTCCGTAATCCCGAAACCCATAACACAATTGAAGTTAGTCAAGAAGAATTTCAATGATCTCAAACTTACATCTTCCCTTCGGAGTTTTCATTATTGAGAAAACACCCCCCATTGATGAAAACTGGTACATTATGAAAACTCATCCGTAGTGAAGTCAAGTAAAAACTCAAGAGAGTATTTAAGTGTGATGTAACTAACTGAATGCGTCGATTGATCAATGCTATCCAAAGCTATGTAGAGTCACATATATCCGATATGGATTGGGATATGAAAGAAAATTCAGACGTGAAGAGAGACTTTGCTGCATGAGACATAAATACATAGAATTCAACATGCAAAAGTGTAGTGACACTAATTGTTTCATCATGAATTCCACTATTTGTTGAGGTATAGACAATCTTTCGGCGTTATAATGTATGTTAAACATTAACGCATAAGAAAAAAACAATTTTGAGAATCTGAAACATGATGGTGGAACCCATGAGAAAGGTATCACATACATGATCATGTGGTAATTTACTTTTACAGTGTACACTTTTCAATTGAATATTCAAGGTTTTGAGACAGCCCGCAAAAGCTACCTCCTCTACGTGGCAACATAATCGAAGATTTTTTCATGTGTATTTCTCAAAATATGTAAATAAGAGGTTGCGTTGTAAAATGCAACTAACGAGTGATGAAGTGATAAACCAAAATTGTTAACACGTGAAACTGAGAAATTTCTGACCTACTATACATACAAACACTACATAAGTGCTGTATGACATATTTCTCGAAATCATGGCCAGTCCTGCTTTCTGATCGTATTCCCTTTTCTTCGGCCTGATGGGATCTTCCCATCCTTTTACATACAATCTTTGTCCCCTGTAGTTGGATGAACCATCAAGTATTATTCCTTCATGCAGTGCACTCAATGCAATGCTAGATGAAGTTAGATCAGAGACAGCAAACAACAAAATGTACATATTGTTGAAGCAAAAATTACAACCAGGACCAAACAAGTAAGAAAGTGAAACTGCAATCTGACCTACATTGGTAGGTCAAGTAAGATTCTAAAAGACATGCATAGAATCATCAAATGGGCATATAACAATAGACTCCAATGTCCAAGATTTCAATCACAGAATCTCCTTAAAATAATAGCAGTTACAATTCACAATCCAAAGGGAGTCGCGCATGGTAACAAAACTTCTGAAACAAAGTAGAGGGTGTGTATGGAAGGGGTTATTATTCAGGGAACTTGTGTACTAGAGCGGTTAGTACCAGCCCTTTGGGTCCAGAAAATGTTCGAGATTATTACCTTGCTATCTAAACCCAAGCAAGATGATAAATGGCTAGGTCATCTGACCTCATCGTAACATTTTGATGCCACTGGTTAAAGAAATCCACATATAAGAAATTATAATAGAAACTTCATGCTAGTGTTCATAATTTGATGCCACTGGTTAAAGAAATCCACGTATAAGAAATTATAATAGAAACTTCATGCTAGTGTTCATAATCACGTTGCTTGTCCGTTCAAAAGGGTCAGGTTCGAGCAGTTGCATACTCTTCATACTCTTCAGTCCATGAACCAAAGTGGTACTTAGTGAAAGCTCTACCTTTTCAACTCTCACTGAGTACTGCAAGAATTTTTCCTAGATAGAGCTTTCACTAAGTATCACTTTGGTTCATGGACTGAAGAGTATGCAACTGCTCGAACCTGACATTTTTGAACGGACAAGTAACGTGACTATGAACACTAGTATGACGTTTCTATTATAATTTTTATTCGTGGATTTCTTTAACCAGTGGCAGCAAATTGTTATGACGAGGTCAGTATGGGTTGAAAATATACTACTTTCAACCTTCGTTTTCATGAAACTCATGAAAAGTTAGAGATATTTCAGACATAATACCATAGATTTAGAAAAGGGATGAGCTATGACCCTATTTTGTTGCAATTTCGTTGTGATAATTCGTTGTGATTAAAGATATATAATTACACTTCCTTCTGCTCAGTTCTTTTACTGTAAAAATAAAACGAGATTTCGCTGCAAGGGAATTCTCAAGACTGCAACTTTATGTTTCTCTTCTTGCTTGTTCATTAAATGTGAAACTCTCTATACAATGACAAAATGTTGGGAACTAAAGATGGGGAGAGACAACTGGAAAAAGCTACTTGAATTAGCCAACGGTTTGCTGCACATTTATTTTAGCTACAACAGAGAATTGCAGAGACTTTTGACGAGGACGGCTGGCAATTACCGACAACTATGAAAAAAGCACAAAGGGAACAAGGATAAGAAGATCTACTTGACAGGGATGCAATACATGAAAGAGAATATTGATATCATATCTTACACTCCCACTTAGATTTTGCATAATAAGAATGAAAGAGTAAGATAGTTGTAATGAAGCAGTGAACAGTGGCCATTGTTGAGATCTTTGACTTCTTTCCTTCAACAACAAAAGAGAAGGCAAATAAGCAAATAAGGGGCCCCCCGGTCCCAAACTCCAATAATCTCCCGTAATATAACTGAGTTCCATACAGGAAGAAACTTCAACTGCCTACAGTATTTTTGACACCGGCTCACAGCAATTCAACACAGCGAAGTTTGAAGCTCCCACATATACAGAGCTGCTGAAGTTTTTATTCATGAAGAGAGTTAATCAATATCATTCAAAAGCCCACTTCACAATATAGTATTCATTTGACAAAGTGGAATCGGACAAATCACCGCAAGAGCAACAATTGCCTACAGAATTCATTGAAGCCAGGTCACAGCCATCAACAAAGTGAAACTTCGAGGCTCCCACAGATACATCGTTGCTCAAGTTATTATTAATGAAAGAAAGCTTGCCAGTATCATTCAAAAGTCCAAATCGCAATATAGTATTCAGTTGACTAATTGCAACGGGACAAATCACAGCAACACGGAATATGCAACTAATTTCACTTACAAACGCGCTTTACAAACGAATGTCAAACACACGTACACACAAGTAGAAAATTGGGAAAAAAAAAACACATATTACCATTGTGAAGCTGTCGGGCTTATCGACCTTCATATCTCTGGTGCAACCCTGTCAACACTTCGGCTTTTCAACTTGTCAACACATGGTTGAGAGGACAAGTGAGTTGTTGATAATTTTCAGCGCGCAACTTCAAAAGTCTAGCGGAGAGGATGCATTCGCAGGTTTTGCACATAAAAGAGCAGCTGTACCCCCTGACTGGTCACCAGAAGCATCGATTGGTGCTTGCTGGAGTTGTTCCAAGACCACTTTCCTCTTGTGGAGCACCTTGATAGCATAAGAGCCTGCATCTGAAACTACAGGTACCTGCGACACAAACATTCAAATCACCTCAATTGCTTGCTACAAGGCGAAATCTTGAAACAGAATCAGAAATTTACATGTTCCTTGAGTGCAAGCCCATCGTTTATCTCCTTCCTTTCCATGTTCTTGTTCAAACATACATTTGTTATTTACCTATTTGTTCCCAGCTGAGAATGAGAAGAGACTAGTTATAACCGTATGTGTATCATAAGTATGTGCTTGAAGATTATAAACCCCAAACTCTTGTGGTAAGCTTTGTGAAAATAAAGAGATAAATAGATAAGTCATGGAGTACAGATTGCCAAGTGTACAAGTCATTCTTCCCTGTCATACCCTTCAAGAGAGATACCTGAGTGTTTATAGATGCAAGCTTGTGAACCCGAAGAAAGCCTACTATATCCCTGTAGTCTGTAAGCATGGCTTCCAGTTCTTTGTCTTCATCTGCATACATGTAAAGGACTGAAAGTTTAGCAGGGTGGCTGATTCTTCTGGTTAACGGGGCATGATTCAAGTTTTCTCACCAAAGAGCGCCATGAGCCTGGCTGAGTGTAAGTACATGAAATTGCTGATAACGATGCCTCAAGCTTGGTAAAGCAGCAGTTCAGATGCTCTTTTCAGAACAAAACTGGTTCAACTAATTGTCTCAAGGTGAAACATGGCTGCAAAGAAAGTTTTTGTTGAAAGTTTGAAAAGACGCACCTTGCACAGCTTCCACAGACAGCAGAATGTCAGTAAGGTGCTGCCATCGTGAGCTGAAAGTAGATTTCAGAAGTGCGGCGGGAAAGGTTATGAAAGCCACTGCCCTGGCCATTCGCAGCGTGCCCTTGAGTCGATGTAAAAACCCCATCATCTCCCAATCCTGGATATGCGAAACAGATAGATTCATATCCTTAGTATCTTTCAACACGCCTGGTATTTTTTATTATAGTAGCACATGCTCAGCTGCAGGGACCTAGCATGCAATAGACCGTCTGTACAAGTGCGGAAGGAGACACGTCATACACATTGCACAGCATGTAATGGCAGAGTGCATACAAAGCATGGCAAGATAACGAATCCATAAGGAAGGCACAACAATGAAAACATAGAAAGAGCGAGACTAACGGCAAAGCAAAGCTTGGCATGGTAGTCTACAGAATGAAATGACAGCGTAGAAAGCACGAGTTGCATGCCAGAAATGGAACCAGGGAAGAGGGCGGAACATAATCATGAAAAAAGTACTTGTCAAAAACGCAGAGGACATGTTAATATAAGTGAGTGCCGAAGACGCTGTGAAACCGTTTTGCAGAACAGTTGCTCGGATCCGACATGAGACTGGTGATCGTCCAAGAGGAAATACTAAGGATACATCCAGTACGTTGTCCTACGGGAAACGATATTAAAGCTCTGGTCTGATCGTGTAGTATTTATAACAAACATCAGATGGACGTTGAGAAGTCTCTCAAGTCACTTACCGTCAATGTGAGCATACATTGTGGTGCACACAAAGATTGCAGAGCAATCCTACCGATCTGCTGCGGCCCAGTCTCAGACCTGTAGACAAGGCATGACAGCCCGGATTACGGCAGACGACAAGTGAAATCATGGAATCAATGCTGGACGAGAACATCAATGACAGAACAATTGCAGTAACTACTAAACAACATGGAATTTCGCAGCCCGACCCAATGGAAGCATGAGTCTGGCTGACCTGCTAAGTTTGCTGCAGAAAGCAGCACACTTTTCTTCAAGCAGAGCAAAACTTCCTCCACCCTGGAGACTGAGGCACTCAACATTCTCAGCATTGAAGAGCGCTCTCTCCATTGGCTTCCTTAAATCGAACTTCGAATTGTAGTCTTGCACCTGCACTGCTTGAAAAGAATGATCCAGACCAGTCCCCTGTCAAAATCGTTGTATATTTGACTGATGTCAAAAATCAAGTCCTTTCTGACTTACTGTAAACCTACAGTGAGTTGTAAGCTCCTTATGTTTCGATTCTCAACTCCGTCCAGACTGGCGTAAAGAAATGTGAATTCTATTTACTAGAAAGAACTGGAATAAAAGTCGGCAAAGCAACTGGAATGTCCACAACTCCAAAGACTCCACAGCAACCGCCCAAAGGGCAGCATATCATCATTATCACTTACCGGTTGCAGAAAACTGCTGCTCAAACGAAGGTACAGACCATGAATGAGATAACTCTTGCTGTCGCATTCGTCGGTCTGCAAGCTCTTGCTGCTCAACTAAGTATTTTCTATACTGCCAAGCAATCCTGAGGTCCTCTCCCTGATTCGAACATATTCATATGGAAAGACTAAAGATTAGCTCATCATTTGAATAAAGGCTGCTACAATATTACACGTAGACAGCCGTTGATTCTTTTACAGCTAACATCGATAGTTAGTTAACTATCGCCTCTATTCTTCACCTGCTGTAAACAAGGGACTGAAAGAATACTCCTGGAATCCACAGACTTATGAAGAAACGAAGATCGGAGTCAATTTTGTACACAGTAGGTGCTTGCACACAATAAGCCCTCTTGATAGTGAGGACGAGGACTATTCTCGACATAACTACGCAGCTCGATGTTTGCATAACAAAAATATTTCATGAAACTAGTTAAGATTTCCCAGGGTCCAGAGAGAGATTCCCACCGGCAGGTTCTTATCAGGACTAGCTCGAGACTTCCTGCTGTCCTCGCCGGTTGCAACAGAAGGCAGTGTACCGAGGAAAGACCTGGGAGATGACAGGGGGCTTGCAAACAGTAGAGGCTGCCCGTGGGCTAACCCCTGAGCCATGAAGTAACGCAAAAGGAGCATGTGATGAGGAGCTTCCAAATCTTCCATGACCATCACGATTCCTCCGACGGGAATCCCTCCTCCGATGATCTGTGGGGTCCCAGTCAAGGAGGACGAGGTGCGGAAACGAGTGACTCGAGTACATTCTCAAATTAAATCAAAGCTGGTGAATACACTCCTGAACAGACACTCGTATCACTGGGGAGGAACCGACCAAAATAACAAAGCTGAATAAAGTACGCCACACAGACAGGCTCCTGAGAAGTGCAAACAGTTGGCGCCATTAAAGGATATGATCCAGGTCGGAGAGCCCAGAAGAAACAAGCGAAATTCCGTGAGGACCCGATTTAGCTCCAATGGCTTGAACATATCCCCCAGAAGGAGCTGCTTTCCTCACAAAGCTTCGACCTTTCGCCGCCATTTTCCGTCCTCAAATCAAAATTCAGAAAATGCGGATGGTCTCGGCCACAGCAGCACTCCAAGGTCTCACAAAATAGTCCCGAATCGATTCCTCTCGAGTGCCCTACAGCGACATCCAAATCGCCACATGCTGAAACTGCAGCCGGTCCGCTCGCGCCACGAGAAATCCGAACAAGAATCTTCTGCGTTCAAATCACGCGGTGAATTGCCATGCGGCGAGCTTCCGACTCCTTTCTTCGTCGAAAATTACAATTCGCCCTTTGTCTCACCGACTGCTCTTCGAAGCTCGTGGGAGAATCGTCCTTTCTCGAGCCCAATTCCCAAGCACTTGAATTTCGGCATCCCGTCTCGTTGAGGCGCTCTTTCGGAGCCACGTCAGCTTCTGTAGAATCCAGCTGGCGTTCCCGAACTTCGACTGTTACGAGAAATCATACTCCTCGTACCTGATCGCTCTACAACACATCCTCATCGATTTATCCTACTAAGTTATCTCCGCACTTCAATTGTTTCACTTATAATTCTATATTTAATTTATATTTAGAGAAAACGAAACAAATTTTTCCAAAAAAAAAAATTATTTGTACATTAATTCAATTAAGACGTTAAATTAAACATCTACATATATCTTATTCATTTTTTTTAATTGATAATATCAATAACTGCAAGTTAAAATTAATTATTTATTAAAGATAAAAAAATTGGATAAATTACAAATTATATTATATATGAATTTTTTAATCTATTTTAAAATATATATAATTTTTTTAAAAAATATAGTCTGTACTCTGCAACTTCAACATGGCCTATTTTAAAGAAATTTGAAAATAGAAAATTGAAAGAAATGCATGAATTTCTATCATATTTTTAGAAAAAAAATTTAATCTTCATCACATATATCGAAAATAAAAAACATAATTAATCTCTTATGAGAAGTAAATTTTATGTATTTGACAACATGCAATAGAACTCGTTTTGTTCTAATTATAGACAAAATTAGCATATACATTTTAAATTCCAAAAAAAATGCATTGAAAAGTTGTAAACTTATTTCCACAAACATCAAAATACAAAGAAATACAAATTTTTTTATTTATTATTATAAATATTAAATTTTTGCTATGCTAACAACAAACAAAACAAAATCTACTCTAAAAAACTATGACAATATATCTCTATACATTTGATGATAGATGAATTGTTTAAAAAAAAAAATTAACTTGATAACACATAATTCAATCAACAATGTCAGTCAAATGTATAGCAATATCACTAGCAACAAAAGAATTTATTTTGCTAAATAGATTTATTACTTATATGAAATTGAATGAATTAATTTTGAATCATAATATGATAACCAAAGTACAATATACACTAGAATCAATCAAATGATGAATGAGATGAAGAATATCAATATAATATAGAATATATAAATTTTTATAAAAAAATTTAAACTAATCAATATTGACATTTAATTCATTAACCAAAATTATTTTTTGGAAATATATTGAATTATTTTGTAAATTTATACATGATGTAAAATATAAATTATTAGTAAAATTCTTATATTAATATGAGATTCTATTTTATCTATTTTGAACACTATTAAATTCTACTTAACTTTTATATATAAATATTTTATGTTAGATTTTTTTCTAAAAAATCCAATGGACTAGTTATGTTGATTTTGTAGACTATAGATCAAAAGACAAGATGAGTAATAATTATTTCATGTCAATCTAGTATGTAATATTGAAGTTAAGTACAACGTTGTTGGTAGTTAACTTAGATATTGTACATTTATGCTATTATCTGTCTAGTTAGTAAGATTGAAATCAATGTATCAATATATATGAGATATATTATATATAGCATATCACCATAAGATCATATGCTATATCTTATGATATACAAAATTTTTGTATTACATGGACAATTATATCACCTTGTACATTTGTTGGACTAAGTCCATCATTCTTTCGATAAATGTATCCATTTCAATCTATTTGCATTGTCAAATAGATTATTATTCATATTTTATAATGTTCTTTACTCGAAGCTTGTGAATTTTCTTCTTGATTTTACCACCATTTGCATATTCATTTGACTGGGATACTACTTGGAACATAAGACAATGCAACATGATTTCATATGAGTTGTACATTATTCTTATATATAATTAAATATCGATGATGTTAATTAAAATGGCATAGTTGTTATCAATCGTTTACTCTTCGCTCTTTTAAGCTCCATACTTCCTGTAGTAATGATTTGAGAATAGTCATCTACTTAGCCAGTCAAAAGAAACGTGGCAAGTCCATTAACGATAACCAATGTCTAGATTATATCTTTTAGACTATTCGTATCCTTACGAGATCATTTATTTACATCATTTATATGAAAAAAATTTCACCAGATTTATAGGTATAAAAATATGAATTACTTTAGTACGGTAATAATGTATCAAAGAGTATACTCGCAACTGGACACAATAATTTGTACCGGTCAGAGATCTCAAAGATGCAATCCACATTTATTCTAGAAGAGTGATATCTCCTTAATTTTCACATAGTAAACAACCTATGCACATACCTTAAAATAATAGGATGAAACAATTCTTGCTTCTCGTTAGACGTGACCCCAGATTAGCGCTGGTGTCATCCGGGTGAAAATCTTCCGCTTCTACACTACAATGTGTTTGAATTCACTCATCTGCGTTGTGACATATATTTATTCCATCGGTATTCCTATTTTTTCGTTCAGAGGTCTCAGGAGTACAAGACGGTGTATACTTCGGTCTTACAATGTGTTTGAATCTACTCATCTGCGTGGTGACATATCTTTATTCCGTCGGTGTTCCTGTTTTTTTGTTCAGAGGTCTCAGGAGTACAAGACGGTGTATACTTCGGTCGGAAGTTTACAAAAACTCGATTATGCCACTAAAGCCAACATCTCGCTTGTGGTTTGACAATCGAAAGTGACGGTGTTAACTAGTACAGTATCTAGTAATACTGTTTACTATCATTCGAGGGACGGGTAAGAATGTACATAACTAAAAGCTGCTCATTCTATTCAGCCCGACATTCGCTCTCGGGCGGCTCTAAACCCGAAAGACTGTCATTCAATAACAATTCGTGCAGGGAAAAACTTATGTTTATGTGACAAAAAGGTTCCTTTGGAAAAGTGATCAACTACTCTCCCATTCAAACATCCTTGCCCACAAAGCAAAGTCAGTAAACGGAAATGCTTTAGGACTAAAGAGAATGAATATGACTAAAGTTCATTCTATTCAGACCGACATTCGCTCTCGAGCAGCTCTAATACCTTGATTTGAAAGACCTTGCACACCACATCCAGCGTGGGTGATTCTAGTTGAAATTGTCTGAAATGGACAGCACTTACCTGTACAATTAAGTACACTTGAAACTGATGGATCAAAACTGATGTCTTTATTAGTGCAATAATATGATACAACTCTAATTCGAATCAAAAGTCATCATAGGAGTAATCAAGGCTGCCAGGTTCCCTCCACCAGAGGTTGGTCAACTTGAGAAGTTACCGCCGCGACTAGATGATTTCTGTGGGGGTTGGGATATCCACAGGTTCCCACAAGAGGACTCTAGATAAATGCTTCTGAGGTTATGACAGCTCAAATTAAAATTTCCCAGCAAAAACCTATTACTACCTTCCTTGACACTGCCCTCTGCGTCTGTTTGCGTGGATGAGCTGATGGTGACATTTGCATCTGGAGACAAATACTATACCTTTTACTCAATTATTAGAGTAACAACTGTCCTGCATTGACAGATACTGTAACCAGAACCACCTGTTTCAATAAAGGGAACCTTCTGGGCAAGGTCCTGCCACCCGATACTACTCTTTTGCCTTCATCTCAAAAACACGCAAACTTTTTCCTTCTACGACGACACAGAAGAACCTGCGCATTCTTTTGCAGTGACACTTGTGTTCGTTTGTTGCCAACTTGCAAATTGATCCTCGTAAGAGAGGTATCATTTTACTCACATTTGATCGATCGATAGATATGGCGTACAAACAGGAGAGATGCTCTAAAACCGATAGTACCCAACATCAGGAAAAACCCGAAGCACACACAGGACATGTAACCGAAGAAGTAAGATGTCTGCATGAAGCCACTCATCTCCGACCTAGCGAAGTAGTAGTAGAAGCAGTAGCCAAAGATGAAAAGACCAGTAGAACCTCCACAAAGCACCGACCTGCCAATAAGAGAAAGTACCCAAGGTCAGGCGCAAACCTAGATCCATTGTAGAATAATGAGCTTGCCAGAATGGCGCGTATTTACTCTGAAGCTCTTGACCCTATCAACCGTGTGAAGTAAGGAGTTTTCGGCAGCGATTTCCAAACCGATCCACCTGCTCAGGAGGTGACTACAAGCCAGAAGGGCGTAAGTACTAAGGAGAATAAACGTGCACGGAAGGATAAGAGAGCGACATACCTCCACCACCATCGATGGTCTTCAACAGCAAGCTGGAAGTAGGTCAAAGCAATTGTGATGAACGCCGTGACGATGATGAGAATGATGAACACTATGAACAAGATACTGGCAATGATGTAGACCTTGTGTCCCCAGATGCTTGCAAAGATGTAATAAAGCTCGATGTAGATAGCACTGAATGGCAGAAAACCTGCCATCGCCATCTGTGGCACAGTTCGTCTGTACCATGGTAACGCAGGAATCTCTCTTGGGTACTTGGTAGTGCGGCAAGGAGCTTGGAATTCGGCTTTACTGTTCTTTCCGGCAATGCCTCCCAAAATAAGCAAAGGTGAGCTCACAAGAGTCCAAATGAGAAGAATGACCAGAATAGTTCCAATTGGCAGAGCAGCATTCGCAGCGTAGAAGATAGCAACTGTGTTGAGAAAGCAGAAAACCAGGAACAGAGGACCGCAGAAAAGGGCAGCAGTCAAGATTATGTTCCTAACCTGCATTCGCAAAGATTGCCACCCACGTTGTAACCCATATTAGTTCCAGACAAAAGATATCTTCTCGACACTTCAAAAGTTTCACCGTTTTCATAAAACATTGGACGTCGAATATGTTATAGAAGACTGTGCGACCTTCCACACAAAACTACAAGAGCAACAGAAAGTACTACGAATATTCAACTAATCTCTGTACACTTCACATTGGAGTATTGAAGGGGAATGGATTACTGACCCAGTTGTTTCCCTCCAGCTGTTTGTAGAACGAGGAAGCAGTGTAACCAGCTATGCCCGATGTCAAGGCATATATAACCACAAGGGCTGTGTACAAAGCACCTCTGTTATATGGGTAGAAAACACCCACCAACGCAAGCATGAAGATAAAAATAGCCCTGCATATTCACATAGGAAAGAATAAAGGTCAGGTGGTGAAAGACAAATGCGACGAGAACCCGAAAGGGAGTCTGAGAAATGCTATCTATAAACGGTAGATAAATACTCAAGATGAGAAGCTCGGATAGCTGAAGTCCCTATATGTAATGTTCATACCACTGGTTTGAACATTACACCTAGGGAATTCATGGGCATTGAAGTAAGAACACTTACAGTGCAAGAAGCTGAGTTCCAGTTCCAAGTACGGCACAGAACAGAGACTTGTAAGGAGGGTATCTGAACACGTCTCCATGGATATACTTCCAACCAGTCTCTTCCTGATCATCAGGCGACTCTTCGTCTCGGGAGTACCTTCACAACAATGTACCAAGCTGTCAATATTTGTAGGCCATGCCATTTGGCCAAGCATCATGGCAACTTGCGCGCTTGCGTACGATTGCAGATATACTTAAGCTCATCCCACAACAAAAAAATATCAAGAAAGGCAAAATTATACATGTTATGGATTAGTAATCACAGCTTTGCGACATCGCCGATGGAACTTTGGAACTTTGAAACTTTGAAATACTTACTTGATGAAGTCATTCTTCAGCACACGCATAAGGATGGTGGCTAGGAATCCCGTCAACAGAAGGACAGTAACACATGAGTTGATGATTGAGAACCAGTGAATCTCCAGATGCTGTGGGAGAAAAGAATACTTCGAATACTTCTCCATCCTTCGATCGAATGGAGTATCAACTGCTTTCCATTTCGCGGAATATGTGAACTCAACCTTTTGATCAGTATCATCGGATATATCCTTCGCGTATTTAGGATCCGTGGACACGTTGATTTCGATCACCCTGTCTCCGTTGTAGTTGATGTCGAAGTGAACGTGAGTGAATAGAGAAAATTTGTTGTCCTCCTTCGCTTTACCAATGAAGCCCCAAATTGGCAGGTCGTCATAGTACATCTGGAAGTAGTAATCGTTCTTTACTGCCATGCGGAACTTTTGCAGATCTTCCTTCTTCAACACCTTCTCACAAAGTGATTCAGCTTCTTTGTCTCTACGGAAATTGAGTTGGTAACGCGCATGAACCATTCGATCTCCGTTGAGCACCTCTCCGAGATCCTCCCTCTTCTCGCTCAGGGAATCGGGCGGGCAAAATGGCAAATCGAAGTACCGGTAAGTTTCGCTGCAAAGAATGCAACCACTTCGTTTAGCATCACCAAAAAACAAAGGAAAACGTATCTACCTCTCTATCTGTAATTATCTGTTAGCTGTGTTAAGAAATACGAGGTCGAAAAACAGAAAAGGGGTCAATGGAATAACGATAACATCTCGGTGGCGCCTCTATAAGTCAGTGGTGGCGAATCAAAGTTCAGAGTCAACATTCAAGATTCAAACTTTTAACAACTTGGTCCAAAGAGGGTGCTGCTTAGATGCTGATATACGAAATGAGCTTCTAGACGACTTCTTGTAATAATCACAGCGCCCGCTCCGGCGAAAAGTAGGCAAACCCATGACAGGAATTTTGTCGTATCACAGTTAGTTATCGCGTTCGAGTAAGCTGCCTGCCACTCCATCAGCAGATGAGCATGCCTCTATAGGTACCACAATAGTGACTCATAACCTTCTTACCGCTACAGGAGCGTCATTCTAAATAAAACCTCCAAAGTCGAGACATAGCTGGCATCTGACGTTTTCCACCGTACACATGTCTCCAAATGACATATCTGTAAGGTGGACGTATAGATTTGTATGAGACTACAAGCGTAGGCAGAAACTTGTTTTGAAGCCTGACCAGCAGCAGATACTGCCTCACGGAGAGGCAGCAACGCTGACATTACCCACTAACCCGCAATACTGGCGAGATAATAATTTTCTTCACGTGAGGTCATAATAAGGCAAAAGATTGAGGCTACTCGAGCAAGAGTGGGAAGATGTACGGATCTATTCTTGCTAGACATGAAACCGCCTTCTGAATTATAATTACAATAAGTTGCAAAAAAGTTATTTCAACGTGACAACACGCGTGTTTACAGGTTACGAACTGCTTGACTCGGCTGGATGGGTCAAACATGATGCGACCTGAATATAAGACTCTCCCCTTACTAGGACATTTTACGTTGGGTGTGTTTCTCGACCCCCTGACCAACTCCGAGAAAGGATAAATATCCGACTGTACAATTTCCAAAAGTGAGATCCGAAGATCAACTACCTAAAGGCTTCCAATCTGAGTTAGAAGAGACGGCATTTTCATACTGTGGTTTCGCACGGGCGAGGACAGAAAACTGAAAGTAAACAAGTCCTCCAATACACAAACCCTAAGGTAACCCAATCAGGACTTGGACTCTACAGCCGTCGTGAACACTGAATGAAAAAGAAGTCAGAACATCACATTATCAAACAATCAAATGCATCTGACCTTCAACAACGTCTGCTGAGAGAGCAAGAATGAAAAGAAGACATGGACAATGGCACCAACCTCGGATTGTTAAACGGACCAACTTTATTGGCATAAAGAGGAACCTCATCGCCCTCCTTGTACTTGTGATCCGAGGCACTTCCTATCACTCCACTCTGCTGGGAAACCAGCACGGAGAAAATTAACAGCGCCAAAACGGAAGAAGACGCCATTCTCTGCATCTTCTTCCAGCCTCACTTCTCCCGATCCGGTCTCACCGCGCCCCAATCGCGCCACCTACTGACAGTGCCACGAAAAAACAAACCCTTAGCAGCTACAACTTCTCTCGCTCGCTCTCTCGCTCTCCCGCCCCTCCACACTCTCTCGTCCGCGACTCCGCGTCTCTACTCGCGCATCCAACCCCGTTGACCAGCATGAAAAAGGTGCTCGCGGCGCACAAGAAAAGAGCTACGAAGAAACAACAAAGCGCTCACTTCCTAGTCTTGCTCCTCGCAATTGGCACCGATCTTCGTCCGTCCTGCACCACCTCACTGCACCACACCTCGCGAGATCGCGTCTCGATTCGCCCCGAGCGCCCGTGGGCCAGGCTTCTAAGCAGACGGGAGCAGAAGCACCACCACCTATCGTGCGGTCGTCTGTCTCGTCCTGCAATGAAGCCCTCGTCTGCGGCTGCCCCTCCTACTTACTACCTTTCTTCCCCGCTCCCCCGCCTTCCCAGCGTGCACCACCGGACGGCCGCAACCCCAGTCCGTCCTCCCACCGGACGCAAAATCGCCCTCTGCGGACGGCCGTCTTGCCTTGTCATCGCGGATTGGACGGCCGGGAATCGCACCAGCTGCTTGACCTCACGGATCGACGATCGGATGCGCTCCATTTCCGCCTTCAGCAATCCATCGTATCTGGCTCGCACCTCCTCTCCCTGTTTGCCCAAAAGTTCCAGGCACCAACCGGTGGTACTGCGTTATCGGTCGACAGACAGCCTGACGCCGATACTCTAGTTTGGCAGGGCCAGCAAGCAGCCACCATCGACCTCTGTCCTGCGCGCATTCATTGTAGTCGGCTTTGCACGAGGCCCGTGTTACTATTTAAACCGGCAGCCACTCCGGTCTCATCTGCCTCCTCAGTCGGCCCCGCGGGTTTCTCGGTTGCCTCGGTCGCCGTCTGGCGCATGGTCGTTGTCCGCGGGATCGTTACTGAGGTTCATCGTTACATTCGCAGCCGCACGATACTTCATCGAAGGCTCTGTGGGTCTTTAACTCTTCGTACGGACTGGCTTCGTGAGCGCCCGAAAATTACGGGAGGAGTTCGAGCCTTGAGGGCACTGCTGTTCTCGTGAGCCCCTGTGATGTGTGCCTTCGAGGGCTGCTGCTAATTTTGTGTCCGCGCCGTGCATTCGAGTGGAGCGGGTTGACATATGGGAGACATAGTTAGTGAGAGACACGGCAAATGTCTTGGGCGTTTTTTCGAGACTTAGCCGTCGAGAGAGCAATCCGATTGCCGACAGCACCGATGTACGGTGTATGTTAGGGACAGGAAGGTGCCGCCCTATTTTTTAGTTTCGAGAACTTTGGCGCATTGTGAGATGACAGCCTAATTTGTGGGCGGAGAACTCGTTCGTCTCAGGCGTCCGATATTTCAGCCTGAGTTCCGAGACAGTCGTGGTACAGTACGACATCGGACGTCAAACATTTAGGAGTGTCGCTTCGAGACCTTGATTCTATATTATCTGTTACCACGTATCAATCGATTACATCTATCAAGATCTGTATTAAAAGAATTATAGTTCCCACGGATGAAATGAAATTCAAGAAACTGTATATTGTAGCCTAACCAAGAGCAGCAGGTTTTGTTATCAAACAACAACCATGAGAATAATATTAGCAAGATATTTACGTGTTTCATCAAATGGTTATGCTCATTTGTTGTGTCCATAAGCAAGAGAAACTTTCAACCATAGCACAAGTACATGTGGTTCTGTAACCAAGCAAGTCAACTTTCACTCTCTCCTCTATCAATTTGACAAGAGTATATCGAGCATCCATGTTTTAGTAAACCATCTTTACTGTACCAAGCTTCCACTTGACTCTCTCAAGCGGTAGTAACTTTACTGTACTCTCTCTACACTAAGGGTTTAGTTTTTGCTATTTGGAGCATACTTAGCTAGAACAAACATGTTGACCAAATGTATACATCTACACAAATGGATTTTCTTCTGCAAATTCTACATTCGTAAATACAAGTTTACCAAAATCTGAATACTTCTACGTTGCTAATGTCAATAGTCAATTAAGTATCATTTTATTAGACATAAAATGACAGTTGATATAAATGTTACTCCTTTGTAAATTTTATTGTAATAAACAATAAAAGCTAATGAATATATACGTATTCAACCAACATTTTCTCTAATTACTTATTGTATATTATGAAAATCTTTTACATGGAAAATGAAAAATATGTAAAGCCTAAATGTCAAACTTTTGCATCAATATATACTGTATTGAAATCATATACGATTATACTTTTATATTAACAGCACATTTCTTTTAAGTATTAAATCATTTTTTAATGAAATCAATCATTGTGTTGATTTCTTTATTTAGCTTCACACACAAGAAATGAATACATGTATTTTTCAAGTGGTTTGTATGCATTAAGAAATCTTTAAAATGTAAACATGAAATTTCTCTATATAGTTTATAATAAACATGTATATAAATATTCAATAATATGAAATCAAAAACTTGTTAAAAAATTTCATATATATTTGTTTCAAATTTATTTTAAAAACTTTACTTCATAGAAAATATTTAATTGAAAATTTCTAAAATCTAATATTTTTAAAGTTTACATATTTTGTTAGATAAAGTTTTGTTTAAATTTTCTTTGAAAAAAATTTATACAAAATCACCTAAATTTACTTGAATATATACATTCTAATATAGTTTTGACATAAAAAATAGTTTATTGATTTTTACATACAAAATAAAAGTTAAAATCTAATACATTTTTTGTGAAACACGAATGTTTCATGTTTCATATATATATGTTTATATTTATGTTTATATTGTAAATAAATCTATATAAATCTTGTTCAAGATTCAAAGATGAAACATGAAAAAATAATATTGTGAACTGAATTTTTTAAATATTATGATTTCATATTTTAAAGTCCTACATATCATTTTTTTAAATCCGAATGATCACATTTGATGCAAATTCAAATTCTTACATCAACATTTCTATTTTTATATTCACATTTACAAATAATAACTTATTCAACATGAAATTTGATTAAAGAGGTTTTTTTATCATTTTAATACAAATTTTGTGGTTTAAATGTCAAACAAAATAACTTATAAATGAAGAAATAAAATTTTACTAAATCTAGAAATCATGCACAAACTCACTATGAGTTTTTTCAAGCAACTAATGTTACTGAAAACTCAAAAACGTTATTTAATTGTTCAGTTCTAACTTGATTTTAACGTTGATTATGCTTGTGATGTCAAATTATTTGCAAAATATTCAAATTTTGAAAGTTTACATCCTGTATAGATATATTTATAAGATTTGTGTCTATATGCATAAATTATTTATGAACATATTTGTTCTTGTACATTTCAATATTTGAATTCTCATTTTAATAATAAATGACATTTTTGTAAAATTTGTAAACAAAAACAAAACTATTGACGGTTTGATTTCAATTTCGTATTTTGTTATATAAGCATTTATTGTTTTATATTAACAAGCTGAGATTTGATAAACTTCACCTCATATTGTACAATTTCAGTCTACATTGATTTCAACTTAGTTTTCTTCATCGAGAAGTTATCTCATTACGAGTAAAATGTTGAACTACTGATGTGTTTGAATATTTTTTTAAATTTTAATTTGAATATGTGCATAATTCAAACAACTGAACAAAATTTTACTTTCTTCTAATTTGAATATTAATTTAATAAGTTTGTTTTAATCAAACAAAAAAATGATATAATTTATTATTATGTCCAATGTAACTATGTGCTGAAAAAATCCTTATTTTTTAACTATATATCTATTTTTTTATTTTCACATTATTATTAATCTATATATAATTTTCACATTATTTATCTTTATACTAAAACATATATTGATTTAATTTTTATTTGAACTAAAATCAATTTGTCACACTTGATTTCAAGATGATGTAATTTTTTTCCACTTTGAAATATTACATATATTTTCACTTTGATATTGTTTTGTTATAGTATTTGATCCAAAATTTGTATAAAACTTGTAAATTACTAATAAAAATAAAAATATATACAGTACTAAAATGCAATCTTACCAAATCAACAATTGAATGTAAATTTCATGTAAATTTCTGTCAAAAAAAAATCTCTGTCAAAAATCAATGCTTAACACTAACAAAACTATATTGTTGATTTGGTAAGATGTAGTTTTGTTAGTGACAGAGATTTTTTTTTGCCACCAGCTTTATATTTTTATTATATGAATAAAAATATTGTGACAATTATAATAAATACTAAATGAAATACGATAAGCATTGTTTTCAATTTTTGCATAAATTTCAAGATCAAAATAAAATTTCTTCAATTTAAAAAATAGAAATTTGTTTATAAAAATTGTGAGACAACAAATTCTGCAAAATTCACAAATTTAACCATTTACAAATTATTTTAACATTAGTTTCACTGTAATATAATTTTTCAACAAGAATGTAGAAAATATAACCACAATCATGAATAGAGGAAAATGTTGTTCATGAAAATTTGATATTTTATATATAATTGCATCAAACTTCAAGATTTCATTATGAACAAATAATTATACAATCATGCTAGCTATGTAGTTAAATATATATATTTTCAATTATTAAAATTAACTACAATCATTAAATCAATAAATCATTACTTCCTCACTCATCATTCATTAATTTGTTTCCAAAAATTTATAATTTAAAGTATGAAGATTGCAAAATTAAAAATCAAAATTGATTATGCTACATTTACACCTATCAAAAATATAACTAGCAAAATAATTCCAGATGTGAATGTCATATATACGTACTTTTTCCATCAATATCAATCCTATGAAATAAATGTTTTTTACATTATTTTTTTTTCTTCAGTTTTATTCATTGATTTTTTGAATTAAATATTAATATTATTACATTGGCTTCTTAAAAAAGTACAATTTACAAGTTAAATTTGCAAGCTATGGTGAAAATTATTAAATTATGTATTTATATATTTAAATAAAATATATTATTTGAACCTTACATACAATAGTAAATATTTTTTTGTTAATCTATTGATTGAATATTAAATGAATGATTTTTTTTTTAAACCGGATTAATTTATTTTGACATTTTTGTCAATTTTTTTTAAATTTAAGTTTTTGAATTCTACATCACATCCGTGTTTACACGTAATTGAATAAATGACTAATTACTTTATTATATCTTAGTTTGTATATGAATAATTATTAATCCTTTTTTTATATACATCATCATTAACATGTAATGTTAATTTCTAATAAGAAGAATAATTTAAATCTTTTGAATATTGTATGTTGATATGACAAAGAAGGATTTCGAATGTAGTATTTTTAATTGATTTAGTGTTTTTTTCTTCTTCATAATATATATATTTTAATTTAATTTAATTTATTTTTGTTTATATCATGTTAATGTCTAACTTAATTTGGAGTGAACCGAGGGTAGGTAAAAAGATGCTACTTCAGGAATAGTAAGCTGAAGTAGCAACTTCAACAAAATTTGATCATACATTACTGGAAGTTTTAGAGTACTTCTATGAGTTTATTGCCCAATATGATATGAGAACGTTTATGATATGCATGAGACCTGCTTGTTTTTTTGTTGCCTACCAAGATACAGCTTCTACTGCCATATAAATACATATCAACCACTAGGAGTAATCCCAAAATTGGATTTCTAAATGCAAAAATCTTCAAAGTTTGCACAAAATGACAATCTATGACATGTTTAGCTAAATAAATCTGAACCCCAATATCTTTTAAAAATAATTCATATTTGCTTGCAAATAGATTTTATATTCAAAGTATTTGCATCTTCTACATTTGCTTTCCGTTGGAAGCAAATCTAGAAGATGCAATTAGTTTAACCTTCACATAGAAAAACCCTGTTGTTGATATCATGAACCTTGACAAACCTTTAAAAATAGGCATGGGATGTGGATCGAGTATAGACTTGAAAAATAATGCATCCGACATAGTGGGTAATTTGGATGAATCTCCAACATGTTTAGTGGGGTTTACTGTACCTTCTACGGCCTAAAGAATATTCATTGTTGAATGCAGATTTCAATACTTTATTAAAATAATAAGATGGGACGGATGAAACTAAGGAAACTACCTTCATTCAGCACGTCGACCGGCTTTGTATGCCACTCAAATAATTCAACCACCGGAGTAACGACCGAATGTGTCATCACTTGCACAAGAACTTTGAAAATCTCATTCATGGAAGTGACGCAATCATAGTGAGCCCGATGACCACTTCTACCCTCCGATTCATGATCGAACAAAACACAAGGGTTTTGACCAAAGAAATAGACAAACGAAGAAAACTTTGATGGAGGCGGTTGAGTTCCACCAAATGTGAAATTTACGTCAAGGCTCGAACGTCCCGAGAGCCAATTGTGTGCGTCGGTTGTCTGCCCCTCGCAAATCAACAACTTCCCACGGTTGGTCGTTACAGGTGTAAGTGTGGAGCCGTGGGGCTCAACAGGTTTTCTTTTCAGTCCTCTGCCAGCGATAAATACAATTATCGAACATATGATATCTCGATAATGTGCGACTCGGGAAGGCCATTTAATACGGTGGGCAGAAGAAGTACATCACCACTGGGTGGAGCGATGGCGGCTGGGGATTCTGGTGTGTCGACCGGCTGCGGCCGGTTAATCGAGGGGAGAACCGGCTTTATCCGGTCGCCAAGCTTCAGGGAACAGGAGTTCTCTAATCATGGCTGGGGAGAAGATGCTGGATTGTCTCACATGCCACACCAAACAGGGAGATACTGCCGAAATTGGAAAATGGGCGATCCCACGGCACCATCGCTTCGGGTCCGCAGGAGTTCGCCCATGCTCCTGCTGATGCTCGGAGGCGGGAGAACTTTTGCGCATTGAGGACGATACCTGCTCGTGCTCTGCCCCGAAATTGCCTTTGCCGGAGTCGCGAGTCGGTCTCCTTCACCTGTGTTGCTGGGGCGGACAAACCGGGATTGTGAGAGGTAAGAGTTTTATGTTTCTCGTTTCGAGGTGCGGTGTCGAGTCCAAAAGTTAGCGGAAAATTGGTGGAAATTTGGAATGGAGATTTTTGTTGTTAAAATTGCTTTCTTTTTTTTCCTCTTTTAATTGCCGCGGGATGGCAGTGAAGGGTAGTAGTTTGGTGGGAGAATTTGACAAGCTTAATGTGCAAGAAGGAATGCGGAATGTACTGGGTGCTGCGGAAGAGAAAATGGTGGTTTTGTCTCGTGGTTTCGCGAAAATAAATTTGACTTTGTTGTTCACCTCAGTCAGTGTTTTGAATCTCCGCAAATACTGTCGGTCGATTCTTCTGTACTGAATTTGCAGACAGTCGTTTCCTGTAACCTTGCTACACGTGACTGTCTTGTTACTTCGAACATTTTTTGCAAATGCTCTCCTTTCCTCGCCAGTTCTTTGTATCACATTAGAGGGCTTCTCGCAGGATCTGAAAGGAATGGACTGCTGATAATAAGTTGGATAATGTCAGGACTATTTCCAGAACTTGGAGCTCAATGGGCAGTATCATTCTTCCGTTCTGTAGAGTGCTTCTTGGGTGTAGTTGGTTGAAGCACCAGCTCAGATGGCGTCAGTTGCTTGGCTTTGTTTCATGAGTAGGTTTCTAAAAGACGATCAATAAACGCAATTTGTTGTCCGAATTCTATGTATGAATGTCTGCTCTAATGAACAGCGGAAGTGGAATTTGAGAAAGATAGGGCTTGGTGGAATGCAGCCACAGTCTCTTAATGAGAATTGATCAGCACTGGCATTTTTCGAAATTAACACTCATCTTGTATTGAGCTTCAATTGCAAGAACTGCGCAACGATGTACATTGTCCCTAAACCTAAGTGTTTGGATGGAATGAATGAATGTCGCTTAATAGGGTGTAGTTATCAACAAGTCGGAGTTGATTTCCAGTCATTTAGAAGCTATTCATGCTCCACTATCAAAAAGTCTGCGAGACCACCCTGGTTTATTTAACTTGGGAAGTCTCCTTGCACCTGTCCCGGAATATCGAGTTTATTTTAAATACTGTCTCAGGGTTTAGTCCGTTCTCTTCTGTCGTTTTTCCACGGTAAGAGAAATTCCTTTGAAAACCTTGAAGGATTATGTACCATTCCTGCAACTTTGACATCGTGGGAGATCAGCAATCAGCTCCACAGTTGCTGCTTTGTCCAACGTTTCCTTCGACGCCGACACCTGGGGACCCAGATGCCTTTGAGTGAGGTCATCTTAGTTTGTCATTTCACAATAGGGGATGTCTTCATCGGAACTAAACCTAGCCTACAAAAGATTTTTGTTGGTGATTTTGAGATGGTCAAGCTCTCACAGTGAATGCATCTTCTACGTGTGCTTAGCCGTTTCTCATATGTCAAAGCACAATACTGGAAAGTTCATTATTTAGCTTCTAAATAAAACATAATATTTCTCTCATTTTACAAACATTGAAGATATGCAACCGCTTTTTGCCTTGCCATCGAGGACTGCTGTTATTGACCTTGTACCTACCTCATCATCCCCGTGACTTTGTAATGCCATTGTCTTCTTGAGGTTTTTTTGTCATTGTTTATCTTGATCTCTAATGTCATTGTTCTCTCTTCGAAATATGTGTATTTTTGTTCATTAGGGCCTGTTTCTGTGAAGGACATGTTTTTTCTCTGCTTTCAAGGGTCTTCACTTATCGTTGCTGTCCTATTATCTGGTTTATTCGTAGGCTGATCTCATTCTGCTTGTTGTAGTGAAAATAAGAATCTTTTTGATATTTCACGTCTAGTATATTTTTCACCTTCATATCTTTTCATTTCTTCCTCTCCATCTTTTGTTACTAACAGCTAAGGGTCTATGGGGATTCAGGCTAATCGCTACGCACATGCTGTTCATAAGAATGTCTTGTCTGCAACTACTCTTTATGTTGCTCTTTCACAGTTCTCCTGGAACGGAGAACTGAGAACATTGGAAGACCAATGGACACGCTGACTGAAAAATCTGTTGAAGGGAAAAGAAGAACGATCCAGCCTGGCAGGGTCTAGCACATCTTACGACAACCTTGTCAAAACCACGTCCTAGAAATGTCGTTAGGTCATCGATCTTGATCTTCAAATTTGCTGCTCTTCATTGTCAATTAGCTATTTGCCTTTAACCTAGCTCCATAATGTACGAACACACTGTCATAACCTGTGTTATCGTTTACTCGTGCACTATGGAGATGAGTTTACAAGGGAGCTTGACATCATATGTAATCAACGGTATGGTGTTTGCACGTGTCAAAACTTTGTCTTTGTATCTTTGGCAAGTGGTTTTAGCGATTTGTTACCCCGGTATGCCAAGTGTACATTTATTGTGGTGTCATTATCGGGGCCGTCGTTTGTTTATTGTGGCTGCACTTGATCGCCAATCTTGGTGTATTGCGGAAGGTTAGTCTCGGAATAGGCTGTGTGCTTTGAGTTAAGCTCCTGGAACAGCCGGCAAAGGGTGTCAATGATAGCATGGCTGAGCCGATTTTTTATTTTTGTTGCTGTAGGCAGGCTTTTCAACTCAAGTCTCACAAGCCCACTTTCCTGTAAGCATTACAAAAAAAAGTGAATTCTTGAAGAAGCTTCCAAATTATGCTGTGCTTTTTTCTGGAAACCAATACCTGTAGATACCTGCCCCTGAATTCAATATCAAATTTTGCTCTTACTGAACTGAGTTGGTCCTCTCATTACACCCCTTACAAAGTGCTCCAATACGTTTTTTCTCATATCAGGTCCCCTAGCCTTGTTCACGTTCCGATTCTCATAGCTATGGGTTCTCGTCTTTTGGATGATCCTTTCTGTAGACTTGTACCATCATAGATTTAGTACGCAATATTCGTAATTGATTACATCCTAACGCATGAATATATAGTCTTCTCCTAAAGTAACACATTTCCGTCTCACTAAGATCCTACGGGAAAGTGACTGATCGTTTATTGCCCCCGCTACAAAGAAAAGTCATGGTATACAAAAAGGTCAACTGTGTTCTGCCATATAAATAAGGGTGTTCGTTAGTCAGGGTTAGATGGTAAAGTTGGCGGAAAGCTAGTGTGTATATACCATCTGATGTCATGGTTGGATCATATCGCAGGATAACTGGAAGAGCCATGTTTACTCTCGTCGGGAGGTTCTTCTCAGTTTTGTGGGGGGCGTCGAGGCATTCTTTGGTTCACCACAAGAATATTGCTGGATACGATCCAAGGCCGGAGTTCTCCTGCTTTTCAATAGCAAATATCATGCCTTAGTAGTTCCTCCACATTTAGGAGACTTTGTAGGATCAGTCATCATCGATGTCACCTTCATCTTTTTGTAATTAATCGGTAGTACAACATTCCAAGCATGGCATTTGAACAGCCGTTCAAAAAGCGGCGACGTTATGAGACCTTGATTACAGATGTGAAGCCTGTAGTGCAGCACCTTGGGAAGTCGTCTCCAAACGCACTTGCAGAAGAAGCGGAGGGGACGCCGCGAGCCAAGAAACAGGAACGTAGAAGCAATGAGGAGGGCCAGCTGCCCTCAGGACAAGACCTGGGACTCGAGGACAATTTGAAGAAGAAGAGAAATAGGGAGGAGATTGGAAGTATTTATAAAGCCTACAGCAAGCTGAAGTCTTGTCTTATCTCGGTGGAAAAACCCGAGGTGAGATTTGATCGCAAGCTCGAAATGGAGGCTGCTTATCAATCTATGCTTGAGCTCTCTAATGGTAAAAACGGCTTCCACCTGGTATTTTTTAAAACGGTTTTTCCTTGATCAATTTCTTTTGTCTGGTTCAAAATTTAATGGAGAAGGAACTTGTGACTTCTCAAGATACTGTGCACATACTTTTTCTACCTTTTCATTCAGGGATTGTTTGTATTTCCAGGATGCGTCAGTGTGCGTCGAATCGCTGCTGAGCTCATACCCCGCTATGCGTGGCTCTGTCCGTCTGCTCTTGAAGCAGCGGCAAGGGCAACTTTGCACCTTTGTGAGTGGAGTAGTAATTTGGTTCGGCAAGATCGCGATAAAGATGGTGTTGTAGGGGAGATTGCCAAGGCCTGTTTCGATGGTTTAGTAGAACTTTCAAATGCAGCTGTGACAACCTCCGAACAGTCCAGCATGGTAGCTGTTTGCCGGGATATAGCTCTATACCTATTTCGACAATTGAACCGTAAGGAGCTCGATGTCGATCCCGTCGGGATGATAAGCAAACCCACCAGTGAACTTGGTGGCAGTGACAGGTTAGGAAAACTCGTGAGCTTGAGCTTGTACAGAGTTTTCTCCGTAGATCCCGAGGGTGTGTTAACCGCTTGTTTCGATCTTTTGAGGTCTTCAGTCTCAGACACCCGGCGGGAGGGCCTTCATTTCTTGACGCAGATAATGAAGCCCATAGACGGTGGATCTCCCGCTCTATCAGGTGGAGGTGAAAATGCTGCGGCGGCTACTCCCGACGCAGAAGAAGCTGTTGATAATGATGGTGCTTCTAAAGTTCCAGTGCAAAGACAGACGTTGGTGACGAAGGCAAGTGAGAGACAGCTCTTTGCAAGCTGCCCTTCGGAAATCTTGGAACTTTGGCCAAGTTTTGAGTCTGTCTTGAATCGTATAAATTGTCTCTTTTTTGTTTGGTTTGTTCTGTCTGTACCTTTGAATTCAAGTGTTGATGGACGACTTTCATTCTTTCGTTGGAAAACCATCAGATTAGTTTTGACTGGCGTCTGCGTAATAAGCACAATTCTCGGGTGTGTACAAAAAATTAGCTGATTGCATATGGCTCATGTCACACTGATACTTTGGAAACCTTTACAATTCTGCAGGTAGTCCATCCAAAGCCTGCGCTTGAGAGATGGCTTGTATCAGCTGTACGCCATTTTAGGCGAACAGTGAGTCGGGATGTCGTTGCCCAGGTTCTTCCTGTTCTACTTTCTCTACTTAAAAGCTTGCATACGTTTTCGCCATCTGATTTAGAGCTAGAAGTTGAAACAAAAGAAGACGAGAAAACAGCAAAGCAAAGGGGTAGAAATCCGCATGATGTTAGTCATTCGAAGGTGGAACAGGTATCTGCTCCGCAATCAGAAGGGCGATGGAGAAGTGGACGATCTAGTGATGTCAGGATAGAAAAGTCTAATCAAGTGGAAGGTGACGGCTGGACTAGAGACCAGGATCAAGGCGCCGCTATATTTAAGAAGGAGCCCTCCGTCCCAATATATACTAAAGTAGAGGAGCTAATTAATTCCTGGGACGGTCATAGGCGCTCTGGAAGAGCAGGAAGTTCAAGGGACCATGAGAAGTTCTCAACTGTCGACGAAGAAGTACGGATAAACAGGGAGAAAGAGAGCGGTGCCGTTTCAAGGAAAGACGTAAATTCAGATAGTTCATGGCCTAACAACTGGAAAACAGGAAAACCAGGGGAAGCAAGGGAAGCAGAGAAAGTTTCGATCAATGATGGGGAAGTACCGTCAAGATCCAAGGATCACAGCAGTGGAACGTCTACTGGCACGGTGCTTGGAGTCCCTAGAAGAGATCTAACAGTCAATGTTACTTCTGCACTCCCCTCGTCGCTGCAACCCTCAACGCCACAATCCCAAGTTACTTCTCCGAGTCCAGGGCAGAGTGGAGATGTTGATCAGACTGCAATGGATGTGTTTGCTGCGAGTCAGTACCTTTTTGTGGGATCAATAGGACAGACAACTAGTGAGCTCCAGCTGAAATTTCACTTTGAGAAATTTGGCCCTCTTGAGAGCGTATCGTTGTCTCGAAATAAGGATCATGCATTTATTCACTTTTGCCATGTACGGGATGCCGTGAAGGCAAGAGAAGCAACTCACGGTGCAACCCCATGGGGAAAGGCACTGCAAGTAAAATTTACTGATGCTAAGGGAAGTCGTGGAAATGGAGGTTCTGGGGTGACACCAGGAAGCAGCTGTCATATCTGGGTCGGGGGAATTACAAGCCAAAACGCAAAGGAAGAGCTTTTGAAAGGTGTCTCCTCTGCGGGTTTAAAAGTTCCGCGCTCTGTCTTTGCGCTTGTAAGTGCGAGTGCTCTTTTACTTGAGTTTGAAGCATCAGAAGATGCTGATGCTGTCATGCTGCACGTCAGACAGCAAAGAAAAGAGGCAGCTGGTCTTCAGTCCTCGACTAAAGTGGGAGCAGAGCGATTTCCTGCACCTCCTCCTCCAGGAACACCTTCAACTGCTGGAGTTTCAAGTTCCGTTTCTGGGGAGGGGTCAAATGCTGGAAATAGGCATCTATGGGTAGGCCGCGTCGATCCACAGATTCGTGAAGAAGAGTTACTGTCTTCCTTCTCAAAGTTTGGTGATCTCACCGGTTGGAAGTTCATCCGCTCAAGTGGATGCTGCTTTATTGATTTCAGGCTCCCCGAATCGGCTGCAGTTGCCAAGACGCAACTGAATGGTTCGAGGTTCGGAAATCAGTTCATCATTGTTGAGTATAAAAATACACCTCATGTGAGAACAGCGTCTGTTCCTTTGCTGGGTTCTCCAACTTCCGCGTCCAGTACTCTTCATAGTCCTGCAGTAAGTAGCTCGGTAAACAGGTACGGAGGAAGTTCTTCACTCACGGCAGCCTTGAACGCTCTCCAAAGCAAGTTGGCGGGATGTTCTGGCTTAGGGATGGTAGCTCCTGGCAGACCCAGAGGTGGTCGTGGAGTTGGTCGGGAGGCCACAGGGAGAGTCCCTACGAATACAATTTGGATTGGACTGCCGGACGCGGTAGGACCCAACTTCATGAACGACATGGAGCTCAAGAACATTTTTTCTCTAGCTTCGGCAGGAGTAGGGAGTGTAACGAAGGTGCGGAGTGCCCGCACGAGTCGCGGACCTTGTCGATTTGTTGAGTTTGACCATGTGGATGCGGCCGCAGCTGCTCTCCGAAATGTTTCAGGGAGACTTGATCCCTGCATACAAATTGAGTTCAGGTGACTTTCACTTCGCACTTTTGGATTTGGAAAATGACATGAGAGTGCGATCGAAAACCTCCGAACTTTTTAACGTCTCAAATTTGCTCCTTAGCCAAAGAAGACAACATGCTTACCAGGCATTTGAGGTTCGAGTCGCCCTTAAGTCATAAACAAACCATCAGTGCCTTGACCCTTTTTGACTCTTTGATATCGAACGGGGACCACTTGACCTGGATAGTTTGTTGAAACTATTTAACGAGAGCCTGCTGTAACTCTGTCCTTGAAATGCAAAGATTGTGTCAACCCTAACATTGTCGTGTTTGTCATCTTGCAGCAACTCAGCCATATCTCTGCAACAAAACGAGAATCCAAGCATGCATACGCATCCCACCGGTGGACACTCACAAATGTCATTGGATGACATTCGACGACGAGCGTGGGACTATCAACGGGAGAAAGACCGATCTCATCCTCATCCTCGGACTAAGGACCAGGAGACAGATGATGTGGCATCTTCATCAACTCCAAATGATCATGAAGAAACGCTGACTCCTAATGTTGAAGGTCGTCCATCACAGGTACCTGTTTGGGGTGGAATTTCTGAAAAGGAGGTTCAGGATGAGGGATTGCGCAGGGAGGCCCGGTCGCAGGGTGAGGGTGCTGCCGATCATAGGGAGGAGGTTCCAAAAGTCGAAACCGGGACACCTAGATCAGATTCATCTTTTGGTGGTTTCCGAGGATGCACATCCGATATTACCAGCAGCTCGCATGAAAGTCCAGTTCTCCCCGCCCATAACCTCGTCGCTAAGCCTAAACCGGTTCTGGAGCATCAGAATTCCACCACAGGATCACTCGTCAGACCCCCACTTCCACCACCTGGAGCAACCTTGGCTCCTTTTCCTCTTCCAAAACATCCACCATGGTCTCACCCGGAGAGAATTAATCCTACAAGTTCGTGGTCAGGTGGCCCGATGACAGTTCCATCTTCTCCTCTTAATCAAGTGTCTCCGACTCCGGGTATGAAAACTGTGTTGGGTGGACCACTCATGCAATGCAATCTCCCGTATGGAGGACCGAAGTTGGTGAAAGGTAGCCGAAGTGCGCATCCTTTGTTACAGTCACCTGTCAACCCAGGACTTTGTAATTTGCCAATATCTCAGTCTGTAGAGCAGCTAGTTCAACCACTAGACCATCTATCGCAACCTGGTCCGCTTTTCGATCATATGGGACATCCTTTGAATCGGACGCATCAGCCTCCTGTCCATCATATCATTCAACCTCTTCCTCTGGTACACCCTGTTCATCATTTGGATCAATTGAATCCACCCCCACTCCCCCTTCTTCCACCCATTTCACCGCCCCCTCCCCCACCTAGTGAGACACCCCCACCACCACCTCCTCCTCCTCCACCTAGTTCCCCTCCACCACCTCTTCCCCCACCACCGCCTGCGGATTCTACTTCAGAGGTTGTTATGGGCAGTAATGGGTTGCACTCAACAGCAGAGCGGCACTGGCGTGGTCCATTATGTAAGAGCGGTATGCAGTATTGTGAAGTACTGGTATTTCACGAAGACTCACCAGCTTGCCATTACGAGCGAAATTTACGGGAGCCTTTTGAGTGAGTTTTTCCCAGCACAACTTATCCTGCTTGTAACTCAGTCGCAAGTTTGTAAGACTTAATGTGTAAATGGAAGGGTTTTAGACCCGTGGGCGAAGACGAAGGTCTCTGTAGTCTATACGGCCAAGTGCTGAAATCCGATACGGTCGTGTATATTGAAAAAGGACATGTGGATAATATGTGTGGCGTTTTATTCAGCCATTGCTTTTTGTCATTGGTGTGTTGTGAGATTTCTCGAACTGCTCGGATCTGCGACTTTTCCGAACATGGCGGCGCGAGACATGCGAAGCTATCCTCGATGTAGGACTCTTTCGAGTGAATATCTCTTGTCGTGGTTCGCTACAATGGCTTACCTCGTCGATCGGAACAAAAAACATAAAACAACCGACGTAGACTGATCTAAGTTCAAGTGCTGGACCTTCTACTTAATACGGGGTGGGTACCTAATTTCTCTACTAACGATGTAGTCTTTGCAGATGGCCTAAGGACCTCGATGTAACGAAGCGAGCAGATTTCAAGTCCGTCAAAACATCCTTCACCTGTACTTCACCTGCCCAGGTAAGACCATTACTTGAAAGATTATATTAATTTTCTGTTGTCTAAAATAAAGTTTAAAATTTTTCGTAAATATCGTAGTGTGAGTTGTAGGCGCAGATGATACAAATGCTTTGAAACTTGCCGCTTTTGCTTACTTCGTGTGTACTTGGTGTTGCAGCGAGAGGTTTGTCGGATATTCGTCTCACCTGGACCCGGAAATTTTGATGGGGTATATATTCTCTTGTCTGTTTGCCTTGTATTTTGAGTCAGCCACCACTCTTGTCAATGTTCTCTTGATGCAAAGATGGTCATTGAGTCGGTTCATTTGCACTGAAGGTTTCGTTTATATAGACACATTAAGCAATGCCTAAGCGCCGTATCGACTGCTTGTTAGATTGCAATACTCATAATCAAATTTGCTTTGCATGTTTTGATCTATGTGCCATCAGTTTCAGCAGTTTATCGACTATTTGAAACAAAGAGATCGTGCTGGCGTTGTGAAGATTGGTAGGGGAGAGAGTATGTGGCCTCGAATGCTCTACATTCTTCCCTGGTCGTTAGAGACTTGTCAACTACTAGCTATTTCTGCCCAGCCCTCAAACTGCTTAATTGGGCTAGTACTACCGTCGTTAGCGACGTTTTAAAAGGCTCATACTTATGTTAGCTGAGAACTTGCTCTCCTACTGTACGTCAGTTAACGTAAATGCTTTGTTACCCTTGAAATTAAATCGAGCGCTGGAATTTGAGTGACATGATCAAGGCAAGGTGGGCTGTTAGTAGGGCTGTAAGTATGCAAAGAAAATTTTGGTGGATCGCAAAATGTAGGCAGTATCTTAGGACATCAAATTGTGTTTCAGGTGAATACATGAAAGGAATCACCTTCTCGATGTGTTACAGACATGGGGTCTAAAATTAGGAAGGTAGTGGCGCACCTACTTGTAAACCAAACCCTCTCAAGTCTTTCGAGACACAGTAGCCTACAATGATCCTAAACTGACCCCATTTGGGGCCGAAAACTGTAGGGTAGCGCTAGACCTAGACTTGTAGAGTAGAGTCAAATTGACCCTTGTATACAGATAATCTGAAATGACAACGATGCGTTAAATTGGGCTCCAGTTGGCGCTCATACTTTCATTCGGGTATCACGGACCTGATTCCTTGGTCCATCTCAACTGTGTTCAGTCTCTTGTATAGTTAGGCCCTTTGCAGATGTTAACGAATGAACAAGATTGTGCTTTATCTGGAATTCCACATTTTCATTCGGTTATTCGATGTTTGGGAGTTTGTACTGCTCTACATTCTGCAACTGCGTCGTGCACATTCCTTACACTTCCGCTCCCTGCAATCTTCAGTCTCATTCTCACATGTGCAGAGGATTTGCTTTAGTGACGTGTACTACCTGTGACTTATTGTTTTGATTAGGTACGTGTTCTAGACGAGGGTTAGTTTCAATGAGAGACTGCTGAGCTATTTCGGGAGAAGGTACTTCTATATGCCAACAAGTAGTAACTATTTTTGGAAATATTTTTCACATTACGGTATGTTGTGTGCCTCCATGCCTAGTCTTCTGTACAATTATTTTCTAGAAGAGGTAATGCACTAACGTAGTGCATTGGCTTTTATTGCATTGTGACTTAGATCTTGACGCTGTCTATCGTAAATTGGGCCGTTTTTTGCAGCTAAAGAGGATGTAACAGTACTGTTTCTGTTGAGATTCTTGCTTAAATCCGCAGATTATGGAGCTCGAGCCTAGTAATTTTAGCTATTTTAACATGAATAAACGAGTAAATGCAACAGGTTAAACACACTTCTCAGTTGATGTCAGTTTGTATCATAGACCTAATTCACGTGCTAGAAGGAAAATATGCTTAAATTACTTCAACTGAAGAAAATAAGCATACAGTGTCTGCATTTTCATATTTTCTAGTAAATCAAATTTTTATATGTTACACTTTCAAATAAATGAAGAAATTTTTTTTTGGGGATACTAACTTAAACAAAGAAAAAAATGTAGAAGAAGTTATATTCTTTTTAATACTTTGAAAAATTTCTGATACATGTATAATGTAATGTACTATTATAGATTTTGATCATTAATTTAATATTAAACATCAATCATTTTCGTTTTTAATTTTTTTTATCCATCTTGATTTCAATAACAAAAAAATTAGCAAACTTTAGGATTTTTTCAATAGTTTTTTGGAATTACTGTTTGAGAATTAGTTTATGTTTTACATCAACCAATTTCAACTGAAGGATTTAATACTACCAATCCAAGTGTTTTGAGTGTGAGGGTGTATATGCTTTATCATTTGAACGTAAGGTTGTTACGTTTTGCAAGGCTTTAATATCTACACTAAGTTCAAGTGAAGTACGCGGAAATGATTGCATTATTGAGAAAAGATTGAAATATGATCAAAACTTATGTGCAATGAGTATAGCAGCAACAGCGAAAGTCTTGAGATACATAAAAATGCATTGAGGTAACTTTTGGAATTACGTGAAGATAAGTGCACCATGTCAAAAAGTTTTTGAAAGTTGAAGAGAGCAAGCATACTAAGCTAGGATATTTTTTTTCCCATAGTTTTGACAATATAGTATCACTGGTCTACTGATCGGCAAGTGCTGTTAAAGAGAAAATATTAACACGTGATTCTTTTCGACTGTTAAATATGTTTCTACACATTTTGATTTAGATAATTCAGGTTTTCAGATTCATTTGGATATATTTTTCGCCGATAGTCTTGCGACATAGCTACAACTTAGCTATTTGTTGAGCCAGTGGAAGTCTTGATAAGGTGTTACCAATCTTTGGGCATAACTTCTACTTCATCCCTAGAGCCCTTTCAAGACAAAGGTCACTTGAAATACACGATTGGCGCACATCAAAGGCCTAAAAAAAAGCCTATCGAGTGTTTTTTGTCAAGCTTTTGCTATTTTGTCACCTTCTTATATCTAGACGCGATATTCCAAGTTTATTTAGGGTTTTGTTCCGGCGACACGAGCATCTGAATGCGGTAGCCCAAAATTATGAACTAAAATGTAGAAAAGAAGCAAGCGAGCGCCGGAAGAAGGAAAATCAAAAGAAAAATAAATCCCTCCTCGGCCACGAGAAAGAAGTGCATTTGTCACCTTTCCTCTTTAATTCGTCTCGTCGGAAAGAATTGAATCGACGGACGAGATGAAAAGCCGTCGGCGGGAGGGAGGTCGACCCCTCCCTGCCCCGTCGGAGTGTCACGGCGTTAGTGCGACCCACCGCAGCACTTCAGTCTTCAGGCTTTCGGCTCGACACCTCGGACCCTCGAGGGTGATGACGGTGCGCGGAGGTCGGTCAGGTGGAAGGTGGAGGGTGCCAGCGTGGCAGGCCGGATGCCTGCTCGGACATGTGAGTGGACTGCGATTGTCCGGCCACTCACTCACTCGATGGACGCGACTGGGCACGTGCCGACATTCAATGTACGAGTTATCCATCAGCTTCATGGCTGCGCAGCTCAGCTCAGCTCGGCTCGGCTCGAGGGAACACTCGCTGCAACACAAGTAAGCAAGCAAGCGAGAGTGTTGGGTGCGCCGAAACCCATTATTGCCATGATAGATATGACAATACGGCTCCTGTCCGCCATCATCATCCGCCTTTCTCTTCAATTCGATCGCTTCGCAGTCGGGCCTGTCAGATCCTCGTACGAGAGTGTCTAGCCCGCACTTTTTCCTCTCGGGCTGTTGCAGCAGCCTCCGCATACACCTTGTGACTGTCCTCGGGGATGTCCTGTCTTGTACACGCATCGCCTTGCCTCGCCTTGCCTGCCCTCCACTTCACTTCACTTCACTTCCCGCTGGGGACCGACAAGCACGCGGTGCTGCTGTTGCCACCAACTTTGGCGAGCGTCGTTCTTCGAAAGTCCAAATGGATCGGTCGAGTCAACTTGGAGTCAAACCGCAATGTCTATATTTCGTAACGATGGCGCCCTCTGCAAGGTACCATACGATATAAAATACGGAAATTAGAACATTATGCTCCATCGTACTAATGATCCGGTAATAGCACTTTGGGAAATTATTATCGATGTCATCACTCCCGTTCTGCATCCTCTGACCTGTCGCCGTTTCCCCGGCATTGGACGTGGGCTTGACCCCAGGTAATTTCATCCGACTGGCCTTTGTTCAGCTCGTACAAATTACTGGTAAGCAAATCTGCAGCGAGGGCGGTAAAGCACTTCGCCCATGGAGAGTCTGCGCTGTGTTTGCAAGGATCTCCGGTGACTCTGTTGTCTCTCTGGTGGTGATTTGGTTCTGTGCCTGGTTACAGATCGTATGGATAATATCGAGTGTTACTGCTGCTGCTGCAGAGCCGAGTGTTTTGAATTTGAGTTCTGGGACCGGCAAGGAGTAGGTTACTGACTACCAGCATACACCTATTACCGAATTTCGACTACACCTATTACCGAATCATGCGTCGACGTCGTTGTCCGTACCTGCGGCGCTGATGCGCTGATTAGCGCATCACAGAGCTGCGACCTTTGGCACATCCAAAAGCGAGATTCGAGTCGGGCATGTGATTCCTCTCACAGTTTCATGTGCGGGCGGCATCGTCCCAACCAACGACCAACGCAGACGTACACTCGGTGGGAATATGGGTCGTGATACATACGAGAGGACGGCGCTGGACTGGACTGGACTGGGCTGGCATTATGTGAGCTCTGCAAAAGGTTGATTCAGGTGTGCTACATGGGAGAGTTATTACGACTTCACCGCGTGAGCAGGCAGCAGGCGCATCACAAACTAATGTCATGCCCTCTTTTCCTCTCACATGGCCTGCCTCCGCATATTCTGCTCGCGGGGGCCAGCCAGCCTACAAGCTCTGCTGCCCATCACCATTGAATCAACCTCATTGACGAACTGAAATAATTCCTTACACACAACCGCCCCGGCCGACTTTTTGGCTCATTTGCCTGGCCTCCGTCATTTGACGATTCCACTGCTACATGTAGCTCCAAAAACGACCCCACAGCAGTGGAGATGGAAGCATGACAAATCCCGCCTGGGAAATTTGGTAATCAAACTCTTTCTCTCCGGTAATCAGACTCACTCACACACACACTCTCTCTCTCTCAGCCAGCAGCAGCAGTGGAGGTGGAAGCATGACAAAATCTCCCTGAGAAAATTGGTAATCAGACCCCTCTCTCTCTCCCTGAAGAGATTCCATGGGCGAATTCCAACGGAATGGCAGCAAATGTTCTCCACAGATTCGTTGAGTCTGGATTACATCCAACCAAAAGAGGACTGTTCCTAAAACTACGATGCCACTTTTTAGCTACACCGAATATGTCGGATGAATTGAACGGATGGATAGGACGAAGAGTGGAAGGGTCGGAAGCATATAAATGACGATCTCGAGTGATGCAAGTTTTGTTCCAAGGAATGCCTTGGATTCAGTACGCGGTGCGCGGTGACCCACAAGCTTTATTATCCAAGAGACGGAGAAAACATGACCGCTGCTAGCATGCTAATTCACAGAAACAATACTCTTCATATCCCAATTATACTCTCGGACACTTACGCTTGTACTTCCTATAATTGTAGATATCGCTAGCTTCAGCATTCCTTGCAAGGCAAAAAGTGGACCGAAGCTCAGACAGCCATCACAAACTAGCGACATGGATCACGCCCCATCCGAATCGTGTCCACCAATTTCCTGCTGGTCATGAGGTCGGAGGCATTGGCCTCCGGGAAAGGTTATTGAGATACCTGGGCGTTTGTCCATATTCCAAGTCCATGGCAGCTCGGCTCGGTGCATTTCAGTGCAGCTCAGTTCTGTTTGGGTCTGTTCGTGTGACTGACAGCAGAAGCTTCAGGATGGCATGCGGATGGCAGAATTGGAGCTCTACCCAGCGTACGCGCAGAGCCCCATCGAGCAAGCTGCCGTGGTGCACGTCGATCCACAAGCTCCGCAATTCGAGCTGTCAGTTTGTAAATTGACGCACGAGCCGCCGCAGCATCCCAGACTGAAGCTGCACTTGTACCTGCAGTGCCCGCAGTTGTTCATGTTCGAGCTCAGGTCCACGCAGATGCCGTCGCAGCACTGCGTGCCCGCAGCGCAAACTGCAGGATTCGCGGTGCAATCCCCGTCCGCCAAACGCCTCGGGTGCTTGCCGAAGTAATGACCCCGGGCTGGATGAACCTGCGCCCGGCTGCTCTGTTGCTGCACCAGATTCCTGCGAACGAAGGGCGACAGCTTCCTGTCCTCCGAACCCGACGCAGCAGCAGCTGCCACCAGAAGAAAGACCACCGCCACCACCATTGCCTGCGACCTCATCGCTGCTGCTCCTTCCGCCTCCGCCGCCGACGATGATGACGCTAATGGGGGATCGCTTCCTCACCTCCTTTCCGTCGATTACCAAAACTCGCTCACTGCAAACATGCGTCTCGACTCAATGCGTTCAAGCAAGCACAGCAGACACACCTGCGAAGTATCTGGCCACTCTTGCTCACGAGACGACTGCTAGAGATGCTCCATGATTTTCGGTCTTAAGCTCTCTGAAGCTACTCCTGTCACTGCACTGACTGATTTCATCGAGTTCAGCTGCTCTGAGCTGAGCTGAGCAGAGCTGAGCTGACCTGAAGTGAGCTGAAGTGACGAGAGAGGTCTGAACTCCGGACAGATGGTGCGGGCGAGAGAGAGTGAGTGAGTGAGTGAGGGCGAGCTGAGCTGAGAGATCGAGACGAGGGCAGTGAAGGGAGTGAGAGTGATGGATGAGCTGGGGGGCAGCAGAGCAGAGCAGAGCCCCGATCAGACCACCAGAGGAGACCCGGGAACGAGGGAGCGAGCGAGCGAACTATTACGACGACTCCACTTTCATCGACGAATGCGCGAGCTTGTGGGGTCCATTCCCGCAAGTGACTGATCGCTCGCTCGCTCGATCGACGATCTGTCGATGGCGCTCGCTCGGCCCTTCTCAGCGTCGCCTCGTTCGAGGGAGCGAGCGAGCGCTCAATCAATGCCACGCGAGACAGCCTCTAGGGTCGCCCCGCTGGACCCCACTGACTGACACCTGACAACCTACCTCGTCCAGACTACCTACCTGGTCCTACCGTCGCCGTAGACTCCGACAACGTGGTTGGTTCCGTTCCCGGGCGGTGCACTGTACAGTCTTGGCGTCTTGCTGTGCCGACCGAGCGCCCCGACTGCAGTCCACGAACCCGAGCTCGGTTCTCCTTCTAACTGCGGTCGCCACAACCAACCAACCAATCAACCAACGCAGTCGGTTCTCTGCCACGGATCGAATCACAGTTGGGCGATGCAACCGCGGTCTTTGACCGAGTAGGAGGGGGCCAGTCGAATCCGATGGGGGCCAGGAGACAAGGAGAGAGCTTATCTCTCTCGTCATGAGTCCATGTCCCACGCAGATTCATGACGAGCTTATTCATTCGAGCGCCTGTAACTATCGGGGAAATCACACCCGGATCTCGACCTCGAGTTGGTGTGCATGGGTTTAGGAATCAGCGTTATGGGGTCGCCGTTTCTGGATCGGGAAGGAGCTCGAATGGCATGCATGCACTCGGTGAGTTGTTCCACGAGGGTCTCAGGATTTTCAGAAAGTGTGCATCGGGAGCTTCCCGTGGCTAGGCCCCCACAGTATTAACAGAAATAGTCAACGTCTTCCTGAATTATATATTTATAAAATTCGAGATTTGTATCTTCGATTAAATACGATAGAACAATCGATTTTCCTGAACATGAGAAAAGCTTCACAAAGTCATAAAGTTTTAACCATCTTAAATGGAATGGAATGCTTGTCGAATCCGTAAAAAAATGTTCTGAAGTACGATCAACTACCAATCCAAACCTCGTAGCAACAGTGGGGAATTTCTGGAATCATACGTAGAGATAGATGGATGGTAAATGCGGTAGTTTCTCCACCACCACGAAGGTGTAATGAGTTCCAGCACAGACAGAAACGAAGGAGGCAAGAGGACAAACGAGTTGGGAGTTCGAACGAAAAGAGATTGGACCCACAAGGATCAAAAGCTGCCTGCGGCCTGGGGCCTGCAGCCCTACCCGGCTCCACGGGTCGCATCTCAAGGGGCTCCGACGCGTCTAATCGACGGTACCTGAGAAGCCTTGGCCACGGCTAAGTCGACAAGTATGTCCTTGTGATCATACGTATTCCGCTTTCGTGTTCTGATTCTCGTGACCGAAATCCTTGAGAGTCATGGGTTCCAGAATTTTCCTTTTATGAGTTTTTTTGTACATTATATTTTGATGATTATACATTTAGCTTATTTTTTCAGAAGATAATTTCTGTGTTATTTCCGTGGAATTATTCATTTAGGTGTTGATTTCAATATGCTCTTATTGGTTTTATGCACGGTTTGATGATGCACCTAAATTTTGTGCATTATGAAAAATGTATCTCTCTTTATGATGTGATAGGGGCTAGCCTCATGTTACCGATTTGGTTTCGTCCAACTTTTTGATATTATTACTTTTTCAAATTTCTGATAGAATACACGAAATCAGGATAACGTAATTTTGTTTCATGTCGATGTTACTTTCAAGTATTTTTGTGAATAATTTGGCCCCAGACTTGGTCCGATTTGATGAGTCGCATCAAAAGTAGTTCAACTTTATTGAGATGTACCGAAGAAATTTTCCCTTGGATCATGAAGTGCATAAATGTGAGATAGAAAAGCACTTCGGGTTGCATGAGTGCACAACAGCCACAAAGGTCAATGATACTCTCAAAAGTGGAGACTACAATTAGTGAAGTGCAAAATTCTTATGATGAAATGTACAGGTTCACAAACCTGCTTTCATGTCACAAATCCAAACAGTTCAACGATGCTCTTGTGCAACCCAGTGGTAGATCCAGGGTAAAACTTTAAGAGAATAGTCAAATCCTGAATGACCATCTATTAATGACATAGATTTCAAAACATGGATAAAGGTAAGACTGCCTTGTCGTGGTCAATGTCGTTGAAAATGCCGGTTGTATCGCCAAACTTACAAAGAAGATGATCAAAGATGTCTCATGGGATCAAAGGTTTGAAGAGATCAGCCAGCATTTTGTACCAACATGGAATGTTATCCATTTAGAATGACTACAAAGGAGTTGTACATAGGAATATTTTAGTGAAGAGTTTGCACCCGGCAAATCAAGCAAATGTGTTGATGATCCTTCTCATCCATGGAGTGGATCCTTGTATTGCTCATTATACTCATAAGTAAGACACCATCGCTTTAGCTCACAATGTCTATTAGTCAAGCTTTCCATTCACTGAAAAAAACTAAGTAGTAAATATGGGTGATGAGTCATGAGGATGTTCAGTTTCATATCTTCAATATTTAATATAATTTACATTGTATGTTGTACATGATGAGATGTGTTCCATCCCTTCAAATATGAACAATTTCTGCCAAGAAAATCATAGAGCTATATTTTACAATTTTAGTCGCAATTCTAGTCTTCTTGCCAAGCACTTCTTGTCGTTTGAGCTTCAACTTGCACATATGCATCACATGTAATAATGTTTGTTGTTTTTTCAAGACGGCTAGATTTTCCCTGATTCATTAACTTGAATGAAAATGTCGCAAATAATTTATGTTGAAGATGTAATATCAAGTAATTTTTTTTGTAAATGATTCATTTTATTTAAGCTTTGATGAACTTCAGACTTCACCATTCAATTCAACACTTTTGAATCTAATCTTTTTGCAAATTGTTCATCACATGTGCAATGTTTTTTTCAAAAATGAAGTAGAAAAAGTTTATAGATCATCTGGGTGCTCTTGTATCCATTTCCTATAATCTCGATCATTTTTCATCAAATTGAACAATTCATGTAATAAGAGCAAGCTAAATGTGTAATTCATATATATGTTAAGGTGAAACATTATTGTCGATATTCTACAGTTTACGCATTTGACATCTATCCTGTACATGTACACATTTACATAAAGGTTGCCCATTATTGAAGTATATTTCATAGGAATCATGGTAAGTGGTTACGTGAGTGTGTTATTCAGAGGCCAATTCGCCTTTTTATTTTAGTTAGCTCTTAAGTACGAAAATTGAGATTTGTATTAAAATTACTTTAGAAACTCGTTAGTTTATCAACCAAACCTGTCAAAAATATTATAGAAAAAGAACACATCGAACATCCAAACTGCATTTCATACATAGTGTTGGAATTCAAAACAAGTCGATTTCTCGTTTCTTCCCAGCCTTTTTTTTCTACAGTACTTGGTCACGTCTTTTTTTCTCAACTTTAAACTTGACCTTTTACGTCAGGCTCAAGTACTTTCTTCGTTATACATTATGTGTATTTAGTTGTCATTTGTAAGCTCCTATTATGTTTCTCTCCACTGACTTTTTTTTCTTTGGATTAGACAGTTAGTACGATTCTTAGTTTCGGTATCTTTACGCACACGCATGGGTTACGAGAGAGTAAAAATTACTGAAACTTTCTTTACTTACAGTTCCCTTTGTAAATCTTCCTGAACCTTTTCGCCAATCCAACAATGCAATATATAATGATATAATTACGTTAAACTAGCTACTGAGGAAAACAGGCTCTTTCAAAACCATTCTGAAATTTGTCAACGATCCCTAGCATCGGAATTCAATTCTACTTTTACGGGAAACCGGTAACACTATATTCCATTGCTAACAATGTGCCTTGTTGACCCTTGTTCAGAAACATTGGCTGATCTACAAGTTACACACCCAATCACTTATCTTAAAGTAGGGTGTGGGTTGTGTAGACGTTTTTTACCAGCTTCGGTATAAAAAATATCGAATATCCACTCTCTCCTTGTGTTTACTTTAACCATGATAGATTGGGATTTGTTTGTTGATTCACCGCAGATAATAATACTGAACATAGACACAATTTCTCTACTCATGCCATGTTCCTTACAACTTACGACAAAGTTAGCAGTGCACGGGATTACCACACGCTCCTCAACTCAAATCTGTTTCTCCCAACGTGACATAGAATGAGTAACCTTAAGAATTGGCTAGGAATTAGCTGTCCACATAATGTAAAGCACAAAGTCGTTTTACACAATCTTCAGCTATATGCCAAGGAAACTTCTTTGCAACGACATTTACTCTCTATTTTCAGTACCTTCTCTATTTGTTTCACTGATTTTAGTCAACCGAAGATTTGGAGAGACGTGATGGTTCTGAAAGTTTTAAACATGCCAACAACGAACTTAAGGAACATGTGTTCAGTATGGCAGTAGTGTCATCAACATAACGATACATGGGAGCTCAAAAATGACTGTTTAATAACACCTTGGAAACAGATCAAAATTAATCGACAAACCTTACAACTCGTACGTACAAACGAGTGATACGATAGATCGAGTATTAAAGGTAGAGTGCAAAAGTACAATGTCCCGATCACAGCTTTGATTGCCAATCCACATGGCCTACATGTACCCGTGCTAGATCTCGGAAACACCAGCTGGTGCCAGGACTCTCCCCTCAACTATCAACACGGCAGAGGGAATCACATTAGCTCCAATCCTTGGGAGCTAATTCAGAAGTATCGCTTCTTCGGTAGACAGCTAACTTGAAACTGTACACACCCTGGACACAGGGTAGACAATTGACCAGATGAGGCAGAGCTGTCGAGCTGGATAAGTGGGCAACTGCAGTTTGTGGCGGCAAGGATGAGAACGGAACGTTTCACTTGCCTACAATGGCATACAATGTACAGGGGTGCCACAGACAGCATTTTGCGTTTGATCTCAGAGCAAAACGAAGTTGATATGCACTCTTCACAAAGTTTCTGCCGAACCGTTGACCGCGGGGTCCTCTTCGCCGAATGACGCCTTCAACCAACTATCATGCTTGGCCCGAGTAACGTATGATGCAAACTTTTCCCTGGCATCCGGAATGTCGAGTGAAAGGTCGTCCAAAGCATCGGCGACTCGACCGAAACCTTTCACCATCTGGCTGGTAGTGATCAATCCTTCATTTGCGCTTTCTTGCATCAATCCTAATAATCGGTCATTCTTCTTTTCCATAGCCATCACCAAGGCCTTCTTGACCACTTCATGGTGAAAAAAGGGCATATCCAAATCGCGAATACACTGGCAGGCTTCACCAAGGTCACCTCCGGCTGCGTATTCTTCCAGTAGCTTTGTTATCTTGTCTTTAGTATCCTCAACGGCCAGACCAGTGCCACCGCCACCCCAGCAACGGAGAATACGTTCGCCTGCCAAAACGCAATCATATATAAGAACAGGAATGCGCAGCCTAGCAGGACGCCCCGAAGAAACTGCCTCTTGAACGCTACTGTAAACCTAACATGCAGTATTCATAAGCCGACAAAAGAAGGCGGGAAACAAGCAGATGTGGATACGACCCCAAAAAAATAGGTGCAGAAGTTTTAAATTATCATCCCCCACAAGTTCTTTTACATCACATGGCCTCCCTCATTTCTCATTTCTCATCTCAAACAACTACGCTCCAAAACGATCTTTCTCCCAGATCTTCAATCTCACGTAGCATAAACCTCAGCCTATTTAAAATCTGCCACGTCCGAAAAGGAGAAAATAAAACCTGTCTACAGTTCCGCCTCTACGGTTTGCAATACCGACCCCAAGAGTTCAGGCCTCGAACATAAAGCACTGCTGCCTGAGACAGACCTAGAAACCTCACCACTGGTTGGAGCATCGACTCTACTTTGCACGGGTCACACGACGTACAAATCCAGAATAGAATAGTGCAAATAACAAGGAAAAGCGAAGGCCGTCTTACCTGCATGTCGGGCTGCTAAGACAGCCCTTGCAGAGTGGACAATCTCGTGACCTAAAGTATCCTCTCGCAATTCTTCGTCAATTTCATCCAGATAAAGGGGAGCGAGGATGTCATCAACAACTGCACGAGCCAAAAACAGGGCTAGTTCGTTTGCAGCATCAGGAATGTCAAGAGCGGTATCTTCTGCGGACTCCAACAGAAGGACGAATGCCCTGATGATGAGCTCAATTGGTATAACTTCAGCATACAGTGCGGACAGCAGCACAGAAGCCATTTCCTTCTCTCGCATTTTTCGATCCATGGCTAATGTAAATAGCCTCTTCAAAAATACGGGATATAAATCTGGTTGCCCTAGGTCTTCCAAGCTCCGAATTACTTCAGCGATGTCATCTGAGAGAAAGTACTCCTGGATGATTGTTGTCGCGTTTTGCTTGAAGGTGACAACATCCACTTCTCCAGCTTGGGCGACTCCTTCTTTCCCTTCTTTAGACAGAGTCGTCACCGACCCCAACCATCCGAGCTTTTTTCCTTTCGCTATGATATCCTTGAGCATTAAATCAGCGCGAGGAATATCCAAGGCCAAGTCGTCGACGGCATCGGCAAGACGGCTGAAACCCTTCGACATCTGGCTGGACGTAATGAGACCCTCCTCTGCACACTCTTGCAAGAGACTTAAGATCGAGATCTCGGCGTTTCTCTTCTCCATGGCTAAAATTACTGCTTTCTTCACAACCTCGTGATGAAAGAAAGGAACATTTAATTCTCGGATGCAGCGACATGCTTCTGACCTATCACCACTTTCTACATATTCATTGAGTAAATCTGTAATCTTCTTCTTCACCTCCTCAACGGTGGTATGTGTGCTTCCCCCCCATTTTTTCTCGACAATCTCAGCATGATGCGGGGCCAGCAAGTAACTCTTCTCTGTTTTCTGAATGACCACTATGCCTTCAGATCCCTCAGGCAACACTTTCGAAGTTCTCGACAAAAATGACGGGGGCAAAATATCGTCCACCACTGCTCGAGCGAGGAACAACGCTAATATATCTGTGGCATCCGGAATGTCCAGCTTGAGGTCATCCACGCTCTCAAGTAGCTTCATGTATCCCTTGGCCAACTGCTCGGGCTCAATAGTATCATTGTACAACGCAGAAATCAAAACAGATGCCATCTCCTTCTCACGATCGTGTTTATCCATCGCCATCGAGATCAACTTCTTCACGAAGTAATGATGATAATTGGGAGAACCTACGTCCCGCAAATTCGCTGCGGCTTCTTCGACGACGCCGTTCGTAAAATATTCCTCAATTATGTGAACCACCTTCTCTCTGTACTCCTCCAGAGACTGGGAAACTGGGGCGCCAACAAGCTTGTAAGGTTCCTGAGCACAAACAGCCATGATAAAACATGTATTAATCCTTCCGCTGACTGTCGGCACATATGCAAGATTTCAGATACACCCACAAACCGTGTATTGGCAGGCAACTCACCTCAAGGACGCCTATCCAAGTTAGACCACAACTGCAAGCATTGAATAGGCGCATTTAGTAGCTTGGAGGGTGCAAAGACCAGAGCTGACAGAACTTAATAAGAACATATCATTTCTGAATGTAAGAAGAAGAGGGAACCTCTTCACTGTCATAGTTGGGGTCATTCCGATCTAAGGCCTTCTTGTTTTCACCATCTGGTAGAAGCGCACCCCAAGTACCCTTTCCTCCTCCACCGCCTGTGATCCAAGATTGTCCAACTCAGTAAAACGTGATTTGGGCATATATACAAATCAGTCAGATGAGCAATCCAATTCCATGGATTAAAAAAAGTACTATCACCAAATGACATCAAAATCTGAATCACTACAGAGAAGATAAAGTGTCCACAACAAGGCTTGGCTGAAATACATTTCAATACGAATGCACTTTCACGACATCATAGCCCACAGTTCAGAGGAATTAAGCAAATCGAGTGCCAAAAGCGGTACAGGATGCAGCTCCTGCAGACGTAAATCATAGCTGTTACAGCTTCTTTATACATCTCCTCTTTTAAGTACCTACTATTAAGATTAAAAAAGACAAAACTTATCGCACAAGACATTTTTTGCCGAAGGCAAAAAGTAAAGTAGATAGCAATCGGCATCGCCCGCTCTGACAGAAAGGTTCAGTTCCGTCTTTTGCAAAATTGGCTGAAAAGCCCTCTTTATGTCGCTTGACTTGATCGAACACAATTAGATCAAACAGGGGAAAAATTTGACTCTAGATCTTCAAATTTCCTGCCCCGAAGAGTGAGAGAGGATGTTGATTAACAGATGTACGCGGCGACGAAATAAAGCCGTTTTTTGGGACTATATTTAAATATAAGTATCCTAACGTCCAGAAGGTTCTGAATACTCAGGATACGACCACGCCGCAGAAAGTAAACAATTTTTCACTGGAAAATTGGTTCAGATGCAGTTCATGAAAATGGACAGCAGTGCCTCGGTATCAATCAGCTACTTAACCATCAACTCCGGCGTTCAGTCCTGTTCTATTATGAGTTCAGCATTTGCTCAAGTCTGCGGCAAAAGATGAAAATACTTCAAAGGTGTCCAATGCACTCAAAATAAATCTTACAGTCCAGATTTCCGAAACTACGCCAGTCAAGTATCAAAGGGAATCTGAGATGCAGCTTTTAAAATTCAAACCTCTAATGTTAAGCTCTCTACCTTCGTCTCCAGTGTCAAGTCCCTGAATTTATGTTCAAAGAAGAAGACGAGGGCCTTTTTCCATTAAGTAAGTTTCCATTAAGCTACTAGTGGAGACGAGAGCAAGAAAAATCGACGTCGCCTCTCGGAGGAAATGTATGCACATGTATTTGTGAGAACACAACTGGAAGAAACGCCTCCCGTGATCGTATGAAGCCATGCTTGATCGACCTCGAGTAGATCGGACTAGCGAGACACTAATTTCGACATCAGCCATGTCCGACAAGAGAGCAACAAAAGCAGGACAGAAAGTTACCTTTCTTAGGACGACCATGTCGTCCGGAATTGGATCTTTTGTCGTGTTTGCCGGGTAATCCCCCACCTACAGCTGCGCTCTTAGTTCCAACTGGAGCATGTTTTGAATCGGCTCCTCCTTTCGGGGAAACGACTTCTGGCACCGTGTCACGACCTTGAGAAGCAGATCTCAACAATTTGCGTTGTTCCTCCGTCAAAAATCCAGCTGTGTTGCTCATGGTGCCGACCCTGGTGGTTCAAACCCTACTGGGCGTCCTTCAGTAAAAGACCCACAAAAAGCTTACGATGACTATCGCGATTCCACAATTGTGAATGGACACTCCCTCCACCTGATCAATCGTATCTCACAGCCGTGTGAACCCAGCACTACAAAGAAATGCGTCGCAATGACTCAGGAGCGGGAGATCTTCAAAAGCGGGGAATTGGGCCTCTTTCCTGAGCTCGTGCAGATGGTCCTCAATCAACGTGAATTTACTCTCAGTGGGGAAAGAAAGGTCACGGAATGAGATGGGAACCGAATGACGCTCCCCTCCTCCAGTAAAGAGGAGAGCTGTGCTGATAAAAGATCACGTTCCAAACCGAAAAAAAAAACAGCTCCGTAAAGCGTAAGCTTGTCTTCACATAATTCAACTCACAGCGACTTAACCCAAAGCAAACAAACAGACTGCTCCTAAACCCTCGAGGCCGGACCTGGTTTGCAATGCAGGATCTCCCGATCTGGACTCTTTCCACCGGATCACAAATCGTACATCAAAATTTCCACTCGCAGCCTGCAGTAAAGCCTCCCGCAGGGCAGAAAACTGGCAACGCCCCTCGCCGTCGTCACCGACAATCTCAATACCAACCAATCGACAGTCCCGCAATTGGACTATCAACCTCCCCTCCTCTATCTCACCACAGGCACCACAACATTGCCTTCTTTCCTCCCCTTCCGCCTCCTCCTCCAACTCCTCCTCCTCCTCCTCCTCCTCCTCCACCTGCGCCTGCGCCTGCACCTCCACCTCCCTCAACGCAGCACCTCTCCGTCCTTCCCGTCTCTCACTCCGAGGGAGGTTTCGATTGATTTATCCAAAACAAGAAAGATGAATCGACGAATGCACACTCACTGAGACTCTCTCCCTATCTCTCTATCTGTCTCTGTTTCTCTCTTTCTCTTTCTCTTTCTCTCGGTCCGCTGTTGCCCTGGCTGGATCTACTTCCACACCATCATCTTGTAGTGCAATGCAATGCCAATCCTCGTGGCGCAGATGATGTTCTGGGGCGCACGCGCACGCGGGCGAGGGCGAGATCGAAGCGCGACGACGAAGAAGAAGCAGAAGGAGCAGAAGCAGAAGAAGCAGAAGAAGAAGCCGAAGCGGAAGCGGAAGCTAGACGGGGAAGCCAGGGCAGGGCAGAGGGCAGAGGGCAGCGAGCGGGCCTTTGCAGCAGCGGAGGTGGAGGTGGAGCTGGAATGCCAAGCACAAGATGGATAGAGTCGAGGACGTGGAAAAGACCGGATAAAAACCGCCCGCGTTTACGCGACCACATTTCTACTAATTCCCATTATCCCTCATTAGACCGCCTTAACCTGCCTTAACCTGCCTCTCTAATTTGGATCATGCACATTCCAGGGTGTCGCCAAATCCTGGCCATGGCCATCCCCTTTCTTTTCTCGTATTATTTTCTGTATAACATGTACGAGGATCCGCTCCCCTCGACTGTGCGTGCGCGCTCTGGAACACCCCCGAGTTCCTGCCCAGGACCACGCGGGCCTCTTTCGGTACTGTCCCGCCCGAGGACAGTGCGACTGTATTTAGCGATTTGACACGATTAATTTAGTATGGTAACCTGGAAGCTCGGGGGAATCACCTGAAGCCTTTCGCAATTTCTCAGAGGATGAGTAATCGCATGTCCCGGGCATTTGGTGAGGGCGAACCCCGGTTAGTGTGAGGGATGGAGTTCATTTACGGGGCCCGATTTTTCTTGCCGAGGTTAGGAGGAAAATACATCTGGACCATGCCGACATAGCAGGTGTTCCCTAATTTTTGGGCGGAGTGTCCCGTCGGCAGGAGGAGCAGCGGTGTCCCTTGGCAGTACCCTCGTGCAGTGTCCGCCAAGGGCAATATATTCCCCGCGGGATGTTTGTTGCCATTTAGGTCATTCCCGTTACGATAATCGGCAAATCAACAGTAATAAAGTGCGATTAGTGCCGATAAGCGAAGCGCAGAAGTTATGTTCTAGGGTTCTCGTTTGCTGGTCGACGTCTCCGGGGGCCACGTGTAAAGATCGACTAACGATGTGTCATGGGTGATGAGCCGTGCTGCTTCGTCAGCTTTGACGAGGATTAGGGCTGACTTGTCGGGGCCCGGGCGTCGATCGACGGCCTACGTACCCTGCACGACCTGAAAATCGTGGGCACCAAACCCCTGCAGGTGAGAGCCCTTTCTAGCTGTCAGCGGAGTCGCGATTTGGGGGCAGCGCTAGATTGCCATTTGCTGTGCGCTACCCACTAACTGTAAGCCGACGAACTCGTCGTTTGTCGCAGCCCTCAATTTTCCACTGCGACTGTCCTCGCAGGATGTACAGCCAACGCGACCTTTGCTCCCTTTCAGTCGGTCCGATTGCGCATTTTTCAGTGTCTGTCTCGATTAATTTGGGTGGACACCGTCCGGATCAAACGAGATATTGAATCTACTATCGGGTCAACATCCCTTCAGAGCTGGCATAGAATCTCACTCTTTCTCTTGGAATCAGACCATCGACTCTACAGTGGTCCCCCGGTGCTGGTACAGTGTTGAGCACAACCCTCGTCATTGATAAAGTGATGATTTTCATTTTCTTACTTTTTTTACTTTTTTTGTGGTTTTGTCTTGTTTGTTTGCAAGTGTTGACAACAAAAGATTCAGCCTTTTGTGTTAGTTAATTTTTAGATGAAAGTGATCAGATGAATAAATTTTGTACATATTGGACAAATCTTTGATATTCATATCAAAGACGGTCATGCAAAGTCAAGACAATATGTTGTGATTCAAATGACGCACAGAGTTTAATTCTTTATTCAAATGCAATGCAATATTGTACTCCGTCTCTGAAACGTGTGTTGGAACAGCGATTTGAAACTATCAAATGCGAGTTAAAAACTCACATTAAAAACTTCATTTCCGATAAAAAAAAATTAAAATTATTTAATAATCAACTTTTGGAAGCTGGAAAACACTTTTGACACGTTGTGTCGTTGGTCTCGCAAAGCTTTATTTTGATCTCTTTCGTCCTTATTGTCAACACTAATTTCCAAAGCCCTTCCATACACGAAATCACAAGTTACATACATATTTCTTTTTTACTATGCATGTCCACCATGCTTTTGTTGGTTACGTAAAAGATGAGAGCTTCCATATGAAATCTTCGTTTCCGGAAATGAATTTCAGTGGATTTTCAAAATAGGAACGGAAAAAAAAGTGAAAGTGAACAATTAATAACATTGGGATATATTGTACAACCCGTAAAGGACTACAATGTAAGTAGTAATCAGATCACACTGCATGGATTCAACGGAGAGACATGCAGATCTAATTAGTCGTATCTGTGCACATTCGGTGGCTCTTTATTTAAAGTGGTGCATAATCAAAAAACCAAGTGCAAAAGGTACACAATACTCAATAATTCAGCGCTAGAGTATAGTAAGGAATAAATTTCGTACTGCGGTAAAGCTATAAACTGAAAAGCGGTGGAAGTCCAATAAGTGTAGAGTTCTGAATGAATAACGGATCAAGTAGCCTTATAGCTCAACCTTCTAAGTGTTGTTTTTTTCCCATTCTAAACTCTAGACTATTTAGCTGCCTTTCGTGTTGATATTGTGTGAAAACTTTGCAAGTATCATGCATGTTCTCTTTACTCTAAGCAGACACCTTACTCATGCGAAGACAACTTTTCATTGAAAAACACTATTCAAGTGTTAACAAATAACATGAGCTAACTTGCACATGTGCAAACATGATATATTATGTTTAGCAGATATACCTCATGTGATAAAATTTAAATAATCAATCAGACATGTCAAGAGTATACAGAACTTTTACTTACTAAATTTCTAGACACAGACTCACACATATTTTTTCCTCCTAAAATATTGCTTATTGGAGTTCATTGATACTAGAAATCATGGAATAAATGCAATGGTAAACCATCATTAAGATTATCATATGTATATAGGTAATGTATAATAAAAAACTTGATTCAAACGAATTACTAAGAAAAATCAAATCATATTACATGCATAATACTTAAAATATGATTTTCAATTATAATTTATTTTTAAAAATCCTTTAATATTCAATCTACTTCAGACCTAAATTAAAAGCCATAATACAAATCTATAAAACTATTGTAGCACAAAATCAAATGAAAAAATTCAATGAAATTCACATTGAAAATCATGCATTCAAAGGTATATTGAGAAATTTATTTTCACAACTACTGAATTTAAATGAACATTAATTTAAATTATTGTATGTACTAGCTTGTATACAACTTGATTCTTTTGATGTTGTTTCAATTTTGATTTTGGTCAAAAAACCTTTGAAAACCTTATATAATAAGTCACTGATTTCAGTAGATAAAAAAATGCATAAAATGTAGATCCGAAACAAATCTTTTTTTATTATATACGCTGCATAAAACTCTCTCAGCCCTGTCAATATTGACCTTCAAATTTAGACAGCCTCTAAACTGGAAGAGTATATGAGTAAGATGCAAATTTATAAGAATCTGGAAGAAACTAATTAGAGATAATTTTTTAGTTGACAAGATCTATTAGGAAAGAATATTTATATGACTGGGAAAAATGCTCATTAACGATCATTAGAGTCCCGCAATCACACGGGGCCATACCTGCTATACGGCAGAGCATTACACAAGGAACAGTTCTGTGAAATTTTGCGTAATGACTGGCCTTCCCACGACCCCATCCAGCCGACCTGACTTCCATGATCTGAGTAACCACCGATCGTGCAACATTGTTCCCGGGTCTAGGAGGAAGAGGGCTAATCTCCTATATACCAGCTGCAGCATAGAACAGAAGCACTTAGAAATGAGACATAAATTATAAACAATTAAATTTTGTCGAAACCCACAAAAGAAGTTCAAAATACCAGGCACAGCGGAGTTCTTCCTATCAGCGCATTTTACACGAAATGTATTACGCAGTTTTCAAGAGCAACGCATTGAAGGGTTTGCATGAAGAACAATTATGAAACTTCCACTGACGATTGAAGTCTATACACTGGTATCCGTATTTCACTGGCCTGCTTTCGTGCATAGTTGAAATTCGATGAATTACTTCATCAAGCTCGATGTGACTGGAATCAGTCTGCAACGTCGTAATTGATGAACACTGGCCGCAATGAAATTGGTTGTTTTTTGCACTACAATATTCACGTTAATGGGAAACTCGACTTACAGTAAGAACCATCTTGATCACGACGCCAATACCGAGAAAATACAAAATCCCTCTTTGCATGCAATATGTTCCAGCAACTCGGTCAAATCACCCGTGTAAGAAAAGGGCTTCCATATGTCCCTGGATGCTTGAACAAAGAAAAATATTTGCTACTAGAGAAAACGTATATCAAGGCAGCCAGAAAAGTTTCTACTCGTGAAATTAGGCAAGATGCAATGACAAGTTAAAGAAAAAGTGATCGTACTAGCCTATAAAAAACTCCACAGATATCTTGTTGTGAATCTATATAAATAGACTTTGTATTCATACTCTGCTTTTCACAATCCTAATGTGTGAGATAGGAAGTCCAAGTTTTGACTTGAAGCCCACCTTCTTAAATACTTAGATGTCAGATTGCCCGTACAGGTGCTCTACAAATCTGCAGTCAGGAGGTCCCACTTGTGGAGCATCCTCAGTCAGAGTAGGTAAGTTCAGTAAGAAATTTGCAATCAAATCATTTTTCAATTTATAGTTTAGGGTATAGGTTATTAAATGATGTAATATAATGATATGACACCTAGAAAATAAATTAAAAATTGAAATTCATGCAATGATATCTTATGTATATAATTCATTGTAGAATTTAAGATATGTCATTACAATTAAATTTTTATAAGTATTTAGCTTTATTATATAATACAATCTTCCAAGTAATTTATCCTATTCAACTTGATTTTATATAATATATATTTTTTATTTAAAATTTATTATTATTAATATTGAATTCAAAAAATAATTTCAAAATAAGATCAAATTATTATTTTAAAAAATACCAATGAAATTTTAAGTTTTTCAAGTTATTTAAATATCTTCTGATATAAAATTGAATGATTGGTGTATATCAGTATGCATGTTGCAAGAAAAAGTTCAAATTAAATCAAATTGAGTAAATTAATTATTTTAATCATATTAAATAAATCTTAAAATAATATTTAAACCCCAAAAATAACTTAATTTAGTAAAATCA